ATGTTGTAAGAAGTACCTGCTTTAGATTATAGAAACTACAATTTGTGATACTGACTTGGTTGAACAGGTTTCAAGGGGCGTGAGTCCCAGCTGTCATGCTTGAGTGGCTTTGTGAGTGGGCGTGGCACTGAACAGCTGATGCCTGTAGGCTTGTATTACCTTTTACAAAGCTCTTCAGTGCTCCTAGACTTTTTGGGGGGCTGTGCTAGCGTGTAAATCATGTTCCTACACAAGGAAGGCGTTATTCTGCCGAGTCGGCACGGCTGGGGAAATGATCAGCTCAGTTCGCAGTGGCTCACTTAGATTGTCAGGGACATTTGGTGAGGAAATACATGCAGTGTTGAGCAATGGTGGTCATGAGGAGTAGTTGGATGGGTAACTGGATGGGTGGTCGGATGGGTACATGGTACTTGGATGGGTACTTGGATGGGTCTCGGATGGTAGTTGGCTCGATACTTGGATGTGTAGTCTGACGGGTACTTGGATGGGTAGTCTGACAGGTACTTGGATGGGTAGTCCGACGGGTACTTGGATGGGTAGTCTGACGGGTACTTGGATGGGTAGTCTGACAGGTACTTGGATGGGTAGTCCGACGGGTACTTGGATGGGTAGTCTGACGGGTACTTGGATGAGTAGTCGGACGTGTACTTGGATAGGTAGTTGGATGCGTCCTCGGATGGGTAGTCCAACGGGTAGTTGGATGTGTAGTCTGACGGGTACTTGGATGGGTAGTCCGACGGGTACTTGGATGGGTAGTCTGACGGGTAGTTGGATGCGTCCTCGGATGGGTAGTCGGACGGGTACTTGGATGGGTAGTCAGACGGGTACTTGGATGCGTCCTCGGATGGGTAGTCGGACGGGTACTTGGATGGGTAGTCGGACAGGCACTTGGATGAGTAGTCGGACGGGTACTTGGATGAGTAGTCGTACGGGTAGTCGGACAGGTACTTGGATGAGTAGTCGTACGGGTAGTCGGACGGGTACTTGGATGAGTAGTCGTACGGGTAGTCGGACAGGTACTTGGATGAGTAGTCGTACGGGTAGTCGGACAGGTACTTGGATGAGTAGTCGTACGGGTAGTCGGACAGGTACTTGGATGAGTAGTCGGACGGGTACTTGGATGAGTAGTCGTACGGGTAGTCGGACGGGTACTTGGATGGTAGTTGGATGGATACTTGGATGGCTTTCAACAAGTTGCCCCTTGAGTGTTTCTGGGGCATCAGTCCTGCCACAGTGAAGCACATGTGGTGTCTACCTAGGCAAGTGACTTTGTTCAAACTGTGCCTCTGTTCACCCAGCAGTGAATGGGTACCCGGTAGGATGAGATGGTATTGTAACTGTTAATCTTGTAGCGCCTCACAATCAGCTTGGAAACAGCACAATACAAATGGGTTAGTGTTGAAAATAGGGCCTTGAGATGTAGCTGTTCCCGAGATGTGCAGAGTTAAATAATTAATGACAAATATACTGATACTGCTAAAGGACATGGAGTGAAAGAGACGTGTTGCAAAATATTATCGCGATAGTCATGTCTCAAAGATATTAATTGTTGTTGAAAACTCGTCGGCTTAGTCATCAAGTCTATGTTGTTAAGTTGTCAAAGGTCGAAAGTCATCGTGAAAGTATGTGACTCAGTATGGAAGAGTCTATTGGTAGCGCGTCCGCCTGGAGAGTGGAAGGTCTGGGGTTTGATCCCCAGCCACATCATACCAAAATATAGCCAACCAGTGGTTGATAGCATGAGCATCACGGTCTATCATCCCGTAGCTATTCTCCGTGAAGATCTGGCTTAGAATAGGTCTTCAGCAACCCATGCTTGCCGTAAAAGGCGAATATGCTTGTCGTAAAAGGCGACAAACAGGATCGGGTGGTCAGGCTCGCTGACTTGGTTGATGCATGTCATCGATCCCAATTGAGTGGATCGATGTTCATGATGTAAATCACTAGATTGTCTGGTCCAGACTAGATTATTTACAGACCGCCTTCATATAGCTGGAATATTGCTGGGTGCAGTGTTAAACAACAAACAAACAAACAAACAAAACGTAGCTCTTCCCCAAAGCGATTGTAGAACTACGACTGTTGTAACTTCAACATTCAATGATAGTGCCCTGATCACTTTGTGGAACCAAGCTTAGGAATTTTCTGCTCAAGATTTAATATATATATATGAAGTCACATGGAGGAAACTGGTTTCTCTGCTGATGTTTTTTTCTTTCATACCTTATGTTTTCTGTATGTAAAACTATTACATGTTGCTGTGGTTACATCGATGGCATTATTAGTCGGGCAGGGAATAAACTTTTTTAAGAAATGATAAAATTCTTTAAAAAGTTACCAGGACCCTTCAATGTGTTTGTGGATCTTGAGGTTTCTTCCCAACTTCGTGGATCAATGCTCATGTTATCAATCACTGGATTGTCTGGTCGAGACTCGATTATTTACAGACCGCCGTCATATAGCCAACCAACTTGAGGTTTCTACAACATTGCAACCTAAGGATTGTGTCGTCATTTTGTGTTGTAGTTTGCCCAATGTTGGTTGGTTGGTTGGTTGGTTGGTTGGTTGTTTAACGCCACACTCAGCAACATTCCAGCTATATGATGGCGGTCTGTAAAAAATCAAGTCTGGACCAGACAATCCAGTGATTAATATCATTAGCATCGATCCACGCAATTGGGATCGATGACATGCATCAACCAAGTCAGCGAGCTTGACCACCTGATCCCGTTAAGTTGCCTCTTACGACAAGCATAGTCGCCTTTTACGGCAAGCATGGGTTGCCCAATGTGGTCAGTATGGTCAATATGAGTAATAATTAGCAATGGAATGGTTTTTGTAGTACAGTGAAGTGAATTGTTACTACATCACAGATGCCGTAGTGAGTAGACAAGGTGTCCCACTTGTAAATGCCAGTGCATTAGTCAGACTTGGGGTGATTAGGACTAATTAGAGGTAATTAACTGATTGATTCATGAATGAAATGGGCGCCAAATTGGTTTGATCATGATGAATTGACCAATTACTACAATTATTGAAAGAGGTTGTATGATTTCTACAATTAATGTAAAGGTTACACTGTTCTGGAAATCTGGTTTATATCACTGTGTAGTCTGTCAGTACTTTGTTCCTTCGTTTGTTGTTTAATGCCACACTCAGCAATATTAAAACTATATGCAGCGGTCTGTAAATCATCGAGTCTGGACTAGACAATCCAGTGATTGACACTATGAGCATCGATCCACGCAATTGGGATATGATGACATGCATAAACGAAGTCAGCGAGCCTGACCACCCGATCCCGTTAGTCGCCCCTTACGACAAGCATAGTTGCCTTTTATGGCACGCATAGTCGCCTTTTATGGCAAGCATAGTCGCTTTTACGGCAAGCATAGTGGCCTTGTCTGTCAGTAACCTAATGGGGAATAACAATTGTTATAACCAAGACCATGGCTTGTGAGTCAGTGAGTCAGTAGCAGTCTGCAAAGTGCATCAGGGAAAATAACAGCTCGGTCAGTCTTATGCATAAAAAAAATAACTCAACTGACTTTATATTTACTTGTCTTGATTCATTGCTGTAATTTGACTTTTACTTTGCCCCTCTAAATGGCGTGTTCATGATTGATTATTGGTCTTGACCAGCTTGGTGTAACTAAAATGATTGATGTATTATGTTTCACCTTTTGTTGCAGTGAAATGATTGATTTTCTGTTTATCTCTTACATCAGTGGAATGACTGTTTGTAGTTGTGAAATGATTGACTGATTGTCTGTCTATTTGTTGGAGCTTTGAAATGATTGACATGCCTTTTGTAGTTGTGGAATGATTGACTGATTGTCAATCTGTTGCAGCAGTGAACGGTTTATCTAATTTTCTGTTCGTCTGTTGTGGCAGTGAAAAGATTTACTGATTGTCCGTCCATCTGTTGTAGCAGTGAAAAGATTTACTGATTTTCCATCCATCTGTTCTAGCAGTGAAAAGATTTACTGATTGTCCGTCCATCTGTTGTAGCAGAGAAAAGATTTAATGATTGTCCGTCTGTCTGTTGTAGCAGTAAAATAAAGCCAAGTTCTTCTCTTGTTCATTCAGAATTTTATCCAATGTTGCATACTTGTCTCTTGTGTGTTGTATGATACCTGTCTGTGTTCTCCAGCACTGCAGTCATGGCTTCGAATTGTTTCGAGTTGTTTCATCGTTGTTTCATCGTTGTTCAGTTTAATGGTGACATAGCTCTTACTGCAGCTTGGAGCAGCATTTCCGGTCTTGTTTTTCCAGTTTTGAGTTTGTCAACATTTGTCAGGGATGCCCAGTACCATCTATCAAAGATTTATTTTATTTGCTTTGTTAATAGATATAGCAGCAAACCAACCCCATTATATGAAACAAGAGCCATTCCCCAATAGCTACCCTTTGTTTTCAATCATCTTGAAACAATTTCGCATTTTGTTCGCCATAATTGAAACATTATTTTTCATAAACAATAGAATCACAATTATCAATTAAATACCCCTTCATATTTTGGAGAATTTGGGAACTATTTAACACAATTTGAGTTCATTCTGCCCTTTTGGTAATGGTTGTGTTATGGTGAAGTTGGTTTGCTGATAGATATTAAAATGTATACTACCTTGTGTAACACAGACTTGACCTAAATCCGTACCCATATATAAATATACTAACTCGATGTAGACATTATATTGTCAATAACTGCATTACTGGAAATATTATTGATAATACATTAACTCTGAAAAATACCTGCAATTATTCTTATTCGGAAAAATATGTTATAAATCTATAGAAATTTGATTAAATTGTCGAAATAATATTTTTAATTGTGACTTATAACTTGTAATGATTCACTTAATTTCAAATGCGTCTTTTTTTTCAAGTGTAATCTTCAAAGGTTCTACTATAATAATGCATGACGTCACAACGAAAATATTTTTTATTTTCCGATCCTACAAAGGTGGAATCTCAAAACGACTTCTCCTCTCTTACAGCCATTTGTCTCAGACTACAACATGGCAAGACCCACGCAAGTCTGTCAGCACCAACAACCTCAACAAGCAGCAACAGCAGCAGCAGCAGCAGCAATCGGGTCAGCCACCCCAGCCACCGAGTAGCCCCTCGCAGTCCCAGCAAACCATAGATAGCACCCCCCTCCCCCAGGGCTGGGAGAGGGCGTACACAGCAGAGGGAGAGGTCTACTATATCAACCACCTCAGCCGGACAACGAGCTGGTTCCATCCAAATATACGTATGTAAAATATTACATATACTAGCGAGTGAGGGCTGAAAGATGTCACTGATTTCGTGTTGTCTTTAGTTGTTGTTTTTATATAAACAGTCTGTCAAGTTGTTTTTGACGTATTTATACATAAGAATTAGTATATTTTTGCATTATGCACACCAATATATTCATTTTTACTTCCTTAAACACAAAACTGATTAAAGTAAAATCTTAATAATATTACATTTGTAATCTGTTATTGATTACCCATGAAGATCCGGGGTAGAATAGGTCTTCAGCAACCCATGTGTGTCATAAGAGGCGACTGATGGGATCGGGTGGTCAGACTCCTTGGCTTGGTAGGTGCATGTCACCGTATCCCAATTATGTCGAACGATGCTCATGATATCAATCACTGGATTGTCTGGTCAAGACTCATTTTTTTTCCAAACCACCGTCATATAGCTGGAATATTGCTGAGTGTGGCGTTAACAAACAAACAAACAAACAGACCAAATGTTGCTGATGTCCGACTATTACCGTCTGCCTATTGGTTCTTCAAGCAGCTGCACATCTACAACGTCCGGGGATGAGGTTACAGCAGCAAATGGGGAATCCTCGGCCATCTCAGCCGATGTCACCCAGTCAGCGACCGATGACACCAGAGGAACAGCAGCGTCAGATGAAACTACATCATCTACAGCGCGAAAAGGAGAGGTTGAAGCAGAGGCAGGACGAGATTGCTCGTCAGGTCAGTCCACCTTTTTTTCGTCTCACTTTCAGGATTTCTGGAGTGAAATAAGTCCCAAATACCCCATTCTTGTGTCCCTGTGGGGATTCTGGGGCAGAATAGGTCCCAGTACCTCATTTTTGTCTCCCTGTGGGAATAGGTCCCAAGTACTTATCATGATAATTGTAATGAGGCTTCTTATATAGCACTAAACTCCATACACGCGTATGCTTAAAGGGTGTGCCTTTATTATTCCAGCAGGGATTTACCTAGGCCACCTCAGAGACTGATATGTGGCCCAAAGTCGGCAGTAAATGACAGTCAAACTTACCAATCTGAATTTTTAAGATTCTCAATATAAACTACATGTATATATAAAATTATGAACATTAAAAAATCAAATTAGAAACAATAGCACAATTTGTTTTCAAATGTGCCCGCCATAGGTGCTTCGTTTGGAACCTAGATACCGTATTTGACGTAATAAGTGACCCGCTCTAATAAGCGTCCACGGCGAGATTTGCTAATATATTAGCTAGTGAACAATCATATTAGCACCCCTTCAGATTGATCATTGTACACAAGACTTATTTATTCGTGTATAATATGCACTTGTGTGTTATATGCACCCTTAATTATGGGCAATTAAATTCTGGAAAGTATATCTATTGTGTATGATACGCACATACTTTTCTTTTGTATCATTTCAGGCTGTCAGCATAAACCACAAAATCTTTCAACTCTGTTTTTTTTCCCCACCAAAATTATGTTCTAATAAGAGCCCCCATTTCTAATTTTGAGAGCGCCCTGGGCTCTTATTATGTCGAATACGGTAACTCCCTCCCTGGTCAGTGAATCACTGTGCACTAGCTTTTGACCACCATTGAATTATTTATTTAACGTTGACAGGAAATGATGATTCGTGCCAACCTCGCTGGTAACCCTGAAGCTCAACAGCAGCAGCAACAGATACAGTCTCAGACACCAAAACTGGTGCAAGCAAATGAGATGACATCGGTCACTGACCCTTTCCTCGGCCAGACGGGGACGTCGGACCTTCACTCCCGACAAGAAAGTGCTGACAGTGGCCTTGGTGTGTAGCGCTCTCATTACGTACAGTCATAGTAAACGTATCGCACTGGAGGGGTTATGATATTGTATACCATCACGAAATGACATATTTTACCACAGTAAAGTCATGATACCATCCATTTTTCAACAGTAAGATCGTGATATGATACGTGTTACAGATCATGCTCACTCAGGTTGAAAAAATAATAGCCCTGGTTCTCTGGCATCATCATAGAGTCCGCCACACATTTCGGTTATATTTTTATTTTTTTACAATAAAATTTTTTTTTTTTTTTCTTTTCTATTTTTCTTCTTTTTTTTTAAAAAGTCCTCATACTTAAAAACAATGCGATCCAATATAGCACAGGGTTACTTCCCTTTACATGCGCACTGCTCTACTGCACATCTCGTGTTAGGGTCATGGCGGCAATAGGAATTGTATGCTTGTTAATGTAGGGAGCTTTCCGTGTTATTGGTACACAACTGTTTATTTGGTTACATACTAGTTTGAACAAGCAAAAAAACCACCCATCCACACTATATTTTCAAAAGTCACTGAGGACCAGTTGTTTTATTTGTTTAAGCCTTATAAATGTCAGTGGCTTAGGAAAGGCAGTACCCACTCTGTGTGTTAACCCTGCTGAGTTTGTGTAGAGACTTGTGGCTTGTGTGTTGCAGGTGGGATGGGCACAAACTACAGCCTACCTAGAACTCCTGAAGATTTCCTGAGCATGGAAGACATGGACACACAAGATGGGGGTGGGTAGTAGTTATCTCCCTTGGCAGCTGCTTGCTCAAGCTCCTTCCCAGCGCGTGACACCTTCGTTACACTCTCAGTAACATCGCTGCCACCAGTGTGGGCGCGGCCATTTCAAGAATCTTGAAATTTGCCCTCCAACCCCATATGTAGTAACGTTTATACTTTTGTTTATGTCTTTGGGAATGCCATCATATTTTAATTTGAAAAGGTTTACGACTGACCATGTTTTCCAGATGAATTTACTTTGTTGTTTTGATAATCAGATTGGTTCGAGATTGCAGACTAACGGAAAATCAACCAACTTCTCCCTTACATTCTTACTATATCAATAACACGATAGTTTTAATGAAACAGAAATTCAAATTGACAAACGAAGAAAGTAATTTAGCAGCGATAAGTGTATTCGGCGTCACGACAGTCGTCACTTGTTTGTAAACATAACGGTCATTCGGTTGCGAGTTCAACTCCAAGCATGGTTGTGGCCACCTATTCACAGTGGGGAGTTTTGACTGGTGGCAGCGATAGTATAGAGAGCTCCGGGAACGTACTATCGCTGTGAGGAGCTTGCTGCTTGCTAAAGCGGAGCTCTCTATACTATTGCTGCCACCAGTCAAAACTCCCCACAGTGATAAGTGGTCACAACCATGCTTGGAGTTGAACTCGCAACCGACGGACCATTATGTTTACAAACAAGCGATGACTGTCGTGATGCCGAATGCTCTTACCCTAACTAAATTGTTTTATTTTTGTTTGTCAGTTTGAATTTCTATTTCATTTCAACTATCATGTAATTGGGTAAGAATGGAAGTGGGAATTTTGAGTGATTTTCCATTCGTCTTCAATCTCCAACCAATCCGATCAAACAAACAAAAAGGTAGATTCATCTGGGAAATAGGGTCAGTCGTAAACCTTTTAAAAAATAACTACTTTTTACACTAAGACACAAACTGAAAAAGTTGGAAGAATGATGTCTAAGACCTCCACCCACATTAAGCTGATAAGCGTTATAACTGTAATACTGTTAAAAGTGGTGTTAAACCCAACTCACTCACTCACTCATTATGGCAGTATCATACCTCAAACTCCTGTTTAATAGACAGGAAACGAGTGGTTATGCTATGAGTTCCGCTCATGGGGAGTGATTGCATTAAGAATCCACATGTACTATCAGAGGTAATTTTTGTGAAGATATTAAAATGGTGTATATCCTTCTTAACCAACAGTATCTTTTGCAACTTTCATACTTCTTTAGGCGATATATGGCATATTTGTCATTCCTTGTGATATGACAGAATAATGTAGGGCTTCACAGGCAGTTTATAAGAATTTAACTTGGCTTCTTTGTTTTCAAACTGGCTTTCAATTTTCTGTGTTGAAAATAGTTGCGCATGTTTTAGAAATCTGATTTTTTTTTACTTCCCAATCAACAGTATATCCCATTTTGTTGTTGATGTTTATTGATGCTATAGGGATACTTTAATGTGATGTTGAGGATTCAAGGAATGTTACTTTTATATATAACCAAACTACATTGGATCGTTGGCACACTGTGAGGCAGTCACCCAGGTGACTCACTAGATGGAGGTAAAAGAGCTGGGATGAGCTGGGCATCCTCAGGACATGGAAGGAGTAGGGGAGACAACTCTAGCAGGAAGTTGCCAGCTCTTGTGTTGGCAGGTTTTCTTGTTATGGACATAGATGGGTTGGCTCTGTGCATGGTGTTAAGGGTTATCAAGTGGGGTGTTTTACTACCTAAAGTTTTATAGAAATAAGAAGGCCGATGTAAATGAATCATGTGATTATCTTTCATTTATCATCCAAAACTGGCCCCCACAGGAGATAGCGCTTGGGTGAGATCAAGCGATATCTACATTGTAGATATCGCTGCAATGAAATTGTATCACAGTGCTTTGCAGACCATTGTGACATCATTGGTTACCATGATGTCACAATCAAATGACATCACCAATAGCTCTGCTACTGAAGCTGTTTGCAGTACTTTTTACACTAAGACACTGCTTATTACTGTCCACAAACTGAAAAAGTTGGAAGAATGATGTTGGATGATAAATAAAATCTCACCCTCGTGTCTTTTGATATCAAATATATCAACACTCGTTGATAAAAGTGGAAAACCTCCAAGGCTTATCAGAGTTTGATCAACTCATGTTGATATATTTCATATCAAAAGACACTCTGGTGAGATTCTCTATTTCTTTCCTAAAATGTAAGTATTAATATTTTTTCGTTCAGGGAAATGATTGCAGAGTTGGTGCAGAATTACATCTCAGTCGTGACAGGATTTTGTTTTCATGGTTTAGAATCCCAAGATGTGCCCTAGTTTTGATCCTTGGTTTGTTTGCGGAATACTCATGCTCATGGGTTTTCCGAGAGAGGTATCTATCTATGACCTGCACCGCTTTCTGCACTGTGATATGAACCCAACTCACTCACTCACTCACTCATCACAAACAATCTATTTCAGGCCCTAAACTGTCTGGACAGGGAGATTTTGGCAGTATAGATATGACCCCAATGGGCAGTGTAGATGGCAGTAGTGATGCCACAAACATGGACAGCGACGACTTGGTGCCTAGTTTACAGGTAAACGCGTTATTTCACACGGACGTTAAACTACCATGATTTGTTTGTTTGTTTGTGTGCTGTTTGTGTCACTCGCATGACTATATACATGCTGGAACATGTTTAAAACCAGAGTAAAACACAACTCACTCACTGGAATATTTTTAAGACCAGTGTAAAACACAACTCACTCACTGGAAAATTTTTAAAACCAGTGTAAAACACAACTCACTCACCGGAATATTTTTAAAACCAGTGTAAAACACAACTCACTCATCGGAATATTTTTAAAACCAGTGTAAAACACAACTCACTCACCGGAATATTTTTAAAACCAGTGTAAAACACAACTCACTCACCGGAATATTTTTAGTACCAGTGTAAAACACAACTCACTCACCGGAATATTTTTAAGACCAGTGTAAAACACAACTCACTCACTGGAATATTTTTAAAACCAGTGTAAAACACAACTCACTCACCGGAATATTTTTAAGACCAGTGTAAAACACAACTCACTCACTGGAATATTTTTAAAACCAGTGTAAAACACAACTCACTCACTGGAATATTTTTAAGACCAGTGTAAAACACAACTCACCGGAATATTTTTAAAACCAGTGTAAAACACAACTCACTCACTGGAATATTTTTAAAACCAGTGTAAAACACAACTCACTCACTGGAATATTTTTTAAACCAGTGTAAAACACAACTCACTCACCGGAATATTTTTAAGACCAGTGTAAAACACAACTCACTCACTGGAATATTTTTAAAACCAGTGTAAAACACAACTCACTCACCGGAATATTTTTAAGACCAGTGTAAAACACAACTCACTCACTGGAATATTTTTAAAACCAGTGTAAAACACAACTCACTCACTGGAATATTTTTAAGACCAGTGTAAAACACAACTCACCGGAATATTTTTAAAACCAGTGTAAAACACAACTCACTCACTGGAATATTTTTAAAACCAGTGTAAAACACAACTCACTCACTGGAATATTTTTTAAACCAGTGTAAAACACAACTCACTCACTGGAATATTTTTAAAACCAGTGTAAAACACAACTCACTCACTGGAATATTTTTAAGACCAGTGTAAAACACAACTCACCGGAATATTTTTAAAACCAGTGTAAAACACAACTCAGTCACTGGAATATTTTTAAAACCAGTGTAAAACACAACTCACTCACTGGAATATTTTTAAAACCAGTGTAAAACACAACTCACTCACTGGAATATTTTTAGTACCAGTGTAAAACACAACTCACTCACTGGAATATTTTTAAGACCAGTGTAAAACACAACTCACCGGAATATTTTTAAAACCAGTGTAAAACACAACTCACTCACCGGAATATTGTCAACATCAGTGTAAAACACTCACTCACTCACTCACTCTGATGGCCTTTATTTGTTGTTGCAGGAGGACATCAGCAATGACCTGTTGAAGGATGTTGAAACTGTGCTAAGCTCGAACAAAATGGATAATTTGTTAACATGGTTGTGAAATGTGACCAGAGGGACATGGTGTTGCCATGACAACTGAGCAAGCCAGACAGTTCAAGGTTAATGTCTGGTTTTTGTGGAAATGGAACTTCATCGGAGCAGTGCTGTTTGATTTTCATGGATTCCATAATGTCGGAGAAGTGACATTTATACAAAATGTAGTTTTATAAAATATTAAGACATATGTATTTTCAAAAAATTTAATATCAGGGAAAAGCTCAAAGTACTAGTTTCGTAGTTTATTTTGTATTTTCAATGGAAAAATACAAAAAAATAAAATATTAATTTTGTAACAAGATCAGGAGAAATATCAATATTAATGATTACTATTCCAATCCCAAGATTCTATATTTTCAGGGCAAAGGGAGACAACTGGGGTTGGGTAGCGGGAGGGAATCACTTTCAGCCTTCATGTATTGTCACCGAATATTTATAGTAGAATAGCCATCTGCATAGGAAGCCCATCTAATGATGCCACACTTAGCATGGTGATGTCATCATGATGCCACACTTTTGCATTGTGATGTCATCATGATGCCACACTTTTGCATTGTGATGTCATCATGATGCCACACTTTTGCATCATGATGTCATCATGATGCCACACATTGCATTGTGATGTCATCATGATGTCATTGTTTTGGTTGTGATGTCATCACGATGTCACAGTTTTGGTTGTGATGTCATGTCACATACAGCATTATGATGTCATCATGATGTCATATTGCATTGTGACATCATGATGTCTCAGCGATGGCATTGTGATGTTCTCATTACTTCATTTATTTGAAAGGTTTTAATCATGTACTGGTGTGCAGGCACAATCATGCATGAAGTATTAGTGTTTCTAGGCCTCAATATACGTATTTAAGTACGAGGTATGATTTGCTGTTTTTATTAAGGGCCTGCCCGCCTTTTTGCAAGTGACTTTTTGTGAGATTTTATATTAGGTTCCATTGTTAACAGTGTCGTTTCCATTTACATAATGTTTTTTACCCCCTACCCCCACCCGAGGAGCTTGTGAACTTGGCTTTTCTCCACCCTCCCTCCTGTGTATATCCCTCCCTCCCCCGTAGTGTTATAATTGGACCATCTTTCACTATAGTGGAAGATCATAGCTTAGCAAGCATTGGTAGTTACCTTAAACATGGATGTACATTATCAATGGAAAATTCCAACATTTTACTATGCAATATTTGAGATAATTGGTATTTATTACTAAGACTGGATTGATCAGTGTATTATTGTGTAAAGACAAAAATATGGAGTGCTGTACTGTCTTTTTGCCTTATAAGTATTGAAGAAGTGATTCTGCTGCCGGAGACTGCGAGCTAGCTCAGAGGGGTCGCTTCGGCCCCTGGCGTGTTTAGACCACCTCCTTGTGGTTGGTGGTCAATATGAGAGAACCTTGTTGTTGTTATGTTACGTAGTGTCGAGTTGGTGAGACTACGGCCGTCCTGTAAGCCAGCAATAATTTGCTGATAAAGCACCGCATCTGCTGTATGACCTTGACCTTGTCAGGTCACAAGTGTGACCTTGACCTTGGTAATGGTTGTTATATATTGTCCTAGAAACATGAGGCACATGTGACCTTCACCTTGTCACGACGACGCGGTTGTGACCTTCACCTTGTCACGACGCGGTTGTGACCTTGACATTGTCAAGGCACCAAGAGCATCAACTCCCAAAATGCAGTGCTGCAAAGAAAGCAGCTCAAGTCTTCCCCTCAGTATAAGCGATGAAACTGAAGGCGCCCCAAGTGCTGTACGTAAAGCCTTCATAAATACTGCATGGGGGGCAAGCAAGTTCCTGTCCTCTGTACATTCTTCTAGAAATGTGTCGACGTGGGATTGAAGATGCTAGTGATTGTGAAATTGTGATGTCGTGTTCCTAGTGTACTGAAATTTATTCAAGTGTTTAAGAGTTTTTATTTTCGTACTGTCATGCAATACTGCCGTGTTGCCTTCTGTCTCCAGAGACAAATTATTTTTTTGTGAACATGAATTTTTTATCACAATGTTCGATACCTTCATCATTTGAAACGTTTTAAGCAATGCGTTACATATACATTCCAGATTCGTCATCACCAGTACTCAAACAATTGCTTTGTACTTTCTGACAAAATGCAAACTGTAACGATTCCGTTCTACAAGTGACAGAAAACCAAACATTTATTTTCAAGTTATGCAAATGCTTTTTTGTTACTGTTACCATGGTTACTGTTAAACACCACTTTCTGCATTAGTTCAATATTATTGCTGATGATGCATTGTGGGAAAGTGCCCACTGTAGCCTTTACGTGTATTGATGATATTACCCATATAACTAATATTTACTTCGACTGTTGTTACTCCTTTTTACATATTAGATTGACTTTTAATGTGTTGATCATTGAATATGCAAAAAAATACCCTAGTGCATTATGCCTGTACTGAAATATTGACTTAATACAAATATGCATGCTATCTTCAACAAGTGTCGATGTGGTTTAGCTGCATGGTCGTAACGGGCCGCCCCAGAAGGATGGAAGTGCTGTTGTAATCTGAAATGTTGTCTTCAGTGTCGGAGACAGATGTTCTTGATCTTTGACTGAATGGTTTTTCAAGAGTAGCTCGTCCTGGCCAAAACGTCCACCACTAATTGTGTTGACTTAATAGATCGAACTTTTCTCGACCTCCACTAATTTCGCAAAGTTCATCTGACCTTAAGTTAAACCTGAATAGATAGAAGACGTACCTTGTCTCCCAGAACTAGTTGTTTAGTTTCAACCCAGACGAGCTCGCTATGTGGTTTTGTTAAAAAATAAAATCATCAAAATTAATTTTTAATAAAAAATAAAAAATTTGTTATATCATTTGTTGCCATAGAAACAGTTCCTGCATTTATCGACATAAATGGCATGATTGATCAAAGCATTGAACTTTATCCTTTGATACCCAATGCAGCATTATCTATCTCCCCATGCATATCGTCACCTAGGCAACCATAGAAATTGTTTTCTGACACTGAAGTTACAGCAGAAGGAAACTGTCCAGTACATCACTGACAGGGTAACATACTGCTGCACCCCCTAAACCTGAAATGGGCATCACCTTCTCAAAGAGATGGGCAGGCTCATTGAGGCTGAGAGGGGTGTCAGGGTCTTTTGTTTGCTGTTATTTCTTGAAAGTAAGCGTCCTCCACTAATCGATCATTGTTCATTTTGGCATATTTGTTCTTCCATTGTTTATTTTATTTTTTTTACTATACCTTGAGATACGAATACCTTCCCAGGTTCCAAGTATTTTAAGTCAGTTGAAGTGTAAATAGTTTTGTTAATTGTACATAGATCTCAGTGACTGAAATAAGGAAAAAACATCACAAAATTCATAGCCCAAAAATAATCATGAAAATTTTATCATTGTCTCTAATCAGTTGTAACCCAATATCGGGTGCAAAAAATAAAATGAAATAAAAATATTAAAACTGTACATGTGTAGTGGTTGTTTGTGTTCTATAAAAGAAGTTTAGTGGTTTTTTTGTTTAACGCCGCGCTCAGCAATATCCCAGCTATATGATGGCGGTCTGTATGTAATCGAGTCTGAACCAGGCAATCCAGTGATTAAAATCATGAGCTTCGATCCACGCAATTGGTGTACGATGCGAGCCTGACCAACCGATCCCATTACAGAGAGAATGGGTTGCTGAAGACCTATTCTACCCCAGATCTTCAGGGGTCTCTATAAAGCACTGACCTGATGAGTTTATGACAACAGGGATTTTAACGCCACTTTCAAGATTAGTGTGTGGACACTGCTCTCTTGGCAGACGGCGAGACACTCTTATCACAGAATCGAATCGCCGACCTTTCATTCTACAGATGACACTGTATCCACTACACCAGAGGCAGAATTGGTCGGAAGTCACATGTACATACATAGTCTAGCTCAGTGACTTTTTTTATGACACCACATTGGACCAGACAATCCAGTGATTGATATGACTGATTATTGACAGGCCATCCATCACATTGCTGGAATATTGCAGAATGTGGCGAAGACATGTACTGTATGCCAAGATGGATTTGTACAAAATACCTGTGTTGTTCAGACAAGAACAAAGGCCAGAACAGCAATATCACAGCAATATATAGGATTGCCTGTCCTGACCAATAACCACCGAAAGAAATGACCGATGTCGCTCAGCCAGCCAGAAACCTATGATCTTGTTCACCTATGTGAATCCCAATCTTGCCCTGAATGTGCTCCTACGTTTATCAGAAACCAAACTCACTTTTCAGAGGACACCGATCCTCCCTTCTCACTCAGCATCCGACAATCCCCAATTGGCCGGACAACGATTTTGTTTTAAATCTAATCGTAACACAATTTGCCCTGATGGCAATTACATGTTTATTAAAACATCAACATTTTATGAAAATAACGCATTTATTGCACATTGTGGCTCAACAACCATACATTTAGGGCACTTTGTGGCACAACAACCATACATTTCGGGCACTTTGTCCCCGTAGATGATAACACTGGACATCAGCAACATTTCCTATACCAGTGATCATAATTTGGTACAGATTTCGGCCACCATCATTACAGCCCTCCTAGGAACACCGCAACAGTCCTGTTTACATCATGAGAGAAACCGTTCATGTTCAACAGTTCATAAGGATGAGGCTTTGGTTGACGTAACCACCAAAAGGACGGCTAGGCCGCACAGTAAGCCAAAAACCTAACATCATGGGTTCAATTCCCTTCAAATAATGGTATGACTCTTGGTTTGTCTGTACCACACTTGCATCACTTCTGTCTTAAACTGACCTGCAGTGACAAGGACAGAAATATTTTACTGACATGAAAGAGGCAAGGCATTAAACAAAACGTGGATTGAAGGCAATCATCAAAGCCAATCTTGAATCCAGACCTGGTAGAATTATAACTGTGCTTTAAAATTTAGAAATTGCCAGCCTCCATTAAAGGTCGTTATGTGTAGACCCGTCAAGAAAATGACTGAATAGATTTGTCTGAGCATCTACTTCAAAGATCTCCTCATGAAGCAAATGTTTGCCACAAAGCTCTGTGGAGTTGCCTCCCCTGAATACGATTCTTTCCAAAGGGGTTGCCTCTCCTGAACTTGATTCTCTCCAAAGGGATTGCCTCCCCTGCCTCTTAAGTCTCTACATCTCCCAGCTTGGAAAATGTGAGATGTCATCACATATTTTCTGCCTCCATCTTATGTCCATAGCTCTGAGTGTCAAATGGCAGCCGTGATCATTGGATCATTTCATCCGCCCATGCGCCTGTCAAACTGTCAGCAGCAGCCGCAACTTGGTTGGTCTTCATCTCTGGCAAGCATATCCAGGCAGCATATGGCACCAAGTACTGGATGGGAACTCGATTTCAAGCTGTCCATTTTAGACATCTGCAAGAAAGAGAGGCAGAACTATAAGCATGATAAGCTTTACACACAGGAATAGGCCCTGTATGCACAGGAATGTGACCTGTACACACACAGGAATATGACCTGTACACACACAGGAATGTGACCTGTACACACACAGGAATGTGACCTGTACACAAACAGGAATATGACCTGTACACACACAGGAATGTGACCTGTACACAAACAGGAATATGACCTGCACACACACAGGAATGTGCCCTGTACAAAAGCATAATCAGCCTCACATGAAGGAATATAGCCTGAAGAAACCTATACTGTTTCCATTGTATGACAAAACAATTGATTTTACTTTGACAGCGGTCGGCCAAGTTCTACCTTTATCACTGCTGCCTGTAAATAATCAATTCCAGACTAGATAAACTAGTGGTTGATATAATGAGCTTCTATCGCAATAAGCCGCCTAATCTAACTTAATCACCTATTACGACAAACGTCTGTTACCATCAGGGTTTCCCCTTGTCTATTTTTATTGCAAGGAAATAACATTTTGCTTTGCTTCGAGGTTAATTATCCATTTGTAGTGACTTTGTCTTGAAACATTAAAAAAAGGAGAAAATTGTGACTGAAGTTAGTTTGAATGATGTATATATCTAAATAAGTTACTTCAGAGATGACGTCTTTGCACTGAATACGATGTTGAAAGAATGAAAACCAGGTAACTTTCATACATTTTGGGGGGGTTGAAAGTTGAGACTGGCAAAGATTAGAGGGGGGACTGGTAATTGTTAGAGCTGCCAGTCCACTAGTTTCAAAAGCCACTGTCGAACCACTTTCACCAGTTCTTCAAACATCCAAGAACACAGTTAAATCCGTTTGCCGAACTTACCTGGTGTCATGGTGTGTACCCAGACATCGCACGGTGCAGTAACGAGCTCCACACTGAACACAGGTGTAACTGGAGGGGAACGTGCTGCGTCAAGGAAAATAGGGGAAAACTTGGTAACAGATGTGCACTGATGCAAATATTTGGTTTCCTTGGTCGTCGTTTCTTTGAAGAACATAGGTTCCGTGACATCACTATATAAAGGAGTAATCAGTTGTGTTCAAGTTAAACAAGAATATAACTTTTTTATCATTTGCATGTTTTTGACTAAAAACAAAACGAAATACAAAAATAAAGTTCAATATACAGTCAAGTCTTGTTAATCCAACACTCGTTAATCTGTCAATCAGCTTTATCCGACACTAAGGATGGGAACCGATTAAATCAATGCTATTTAGACCCGTTAGTCCGACAGTCTCGCACTCCGACTCCAACACACCTAATTTGCAACGAAATGCTGAAATCAGTCATTAATCAGTCTCATTTATCCAGGGGGCACGAGTGGCCCAGTCGTCTAAGGCGCCGCGATTCGCTGTGCAGAGTTGCGTCCCTTGGGCACGCCAGAAACCTATGATTGTGGGTTCGAATCCCGGTTCACCCCGATTATGTTTCTAGGTTTGTCAGCACCATACCCGTGCTCGTGGGTTTCACCGAAGTGATAAACGTCTGAGACCTGCATCACTTCGGGCTTTCCTCCCACATTAAGCTGACACGCCGTGATATAACTGTAATACTGTTAAAAGCGATGTTAAACCCAACTCACTCACTCACTCATTAATCCGACACAGTGATCAGCGGTCATCTGCCCGCCAGTACACAGCCCGTGTTTTAATGCAAGGCAAGTCGGCTGGTAGATGCATTTTACAACGGCTGTAGACATAAACTTGCTTAACAATAAACAATTAATGCTTTAAACAAAGAAAACAGGATGAATCACATGCTTAGATTACCTCAATCTCATTAAAATCAGATACAAGTTCTCGCTATTGCTGAGGACATCCCATTACAGGTCACGCCAGAACAACATTTCGGAAAATATTGTGTAGTTGTCCGATTTTCCATCATGAATGTTGATACTACTTAATTTTCTTTATCCGACATACTCGTCAATCCAACATAATCATATGCAACCAACCATGTTGGATTAACGGGACTTGTCTGTACACCACTCAAAAGAAGTTTAAGAACACACGATTTTTTCACACGACTATAGCTAGTGAGTGAGTGAGTGAGTATGGTTTTACGCCGCTTTTAGCAATATTCAAGCAATATAACGGCGGGGGACACCAGAAATGGGCTTCACACATTGTACCCATGTCGGGAATCGAACCCGGGTTTTCGGCGTGACGAGCAAACGCTTTAACCACTAGGCTACCCGACCGCCCCCATGACCATAGCTAATCTGTCATGGCATATTTTTCTCATGACGTATATTTCTATTTTAATCAGTATTTTAGTTCTGAACTGCAGTGACTTCATCAAATTTATTATGACACAAACAAATTTGACGTCACAGTCGCAGATAAAGCATCAAATTTCAATCTCTGAGTCAATTTCCACGAAAATTGTAGGAACCGCAATTCCGAATTTTGTGACCTAAATTTCTTAATATAATAGTTTGAAAATTACTAACCAAAACTCAGAGAAGTATATTCCAATTAATCTTACTTTCAGTCGTGATGCAGCTATCAAAACAACTGTTTCAATCGAAGGTTGTTATTGTAATTTGAAACCTCTGAGTGACCAATCAGAATCGAGAAATTACTAAATCCATGGTAGAATTGTGGTAACGTTGATTTCAGTTACATCACTGTGGGAAGACAAGTATTTTTGTTGGCTTGTTGTTTGTTGTTTATCGCCGTACTCAGCAATATTTCCAGCTCTATGACGGTGGTCTGTTAATAATCGAGTCTGGACTAGACAATCCAGTGATTGACATCATGAGCATCGATCCACGCAATTGGGATACAACTTATGCATCAACCAAGTCACTGAGCCTGACCACCCGATCCCGTTAGTCGCCTCTTACGACAAGCATAGTCGTCTTTTACGGCAAGCATGGGTTGCTGAAGACTACTCTACCCCGGGTCTTCACAGGCTGGGAAGACAAGTGACACAGGCGTGTAGCACTTTGGGGAAACTCACCAGCATAGATGTGGTTCTGACATTCAACCAACCTCACTACCGTAAAACCAAGGTCTGAGGACATCCCATAACAGGTCAGGTCAGTACGACCTATCCTCTGACTTATTAGTGCGTCGCTTACCAGATCAGGAAAGTGACAGCCGGAATGTGTTTTCTAATCATGCAACCTCGAAAAATGTAACACATGGATTCAGCACGACAGTTATTGGCTTAATCAATCAAAATCATTGTCTATCGATCGCTTACTTCCATTGGATAAACATTTGAACTGAAAACACTTTGCATTGCCCGTAGGAAGTACAGCTGGAATATTGTTGAGTGTGGCGTTAAGCAACAAACTCACTCTCATAATCTGAAAGAATCTAGGATTACAAACAACCCTGGCAGTTAATCGGATACAACTTTCAGCGTCCCATATGATTGGCCCCCCATGCCCCGATAATGGTTTACTGTAAAAGTTAAAGTGAAATATCTGTAACAAGATGTTAACAGTTGCCAGAGAAGTGAGTTGAGGTGTTAAAGGATATCCACACACAGCACAGAAGTGTCTTGGCGGCATCTTGGAGGCGGGCACACCAGCGCTGAAGTACGAGGCTTCATCCTTGTTCAGCATTTGCTGAAACATGACACACAAACATGGAGGTCAATCAGCCATTATCGACACTTCATCACTTAAATTCAGATCCAGAACATTTAACAAATATCAGAAAATAACACCCTGTTCTTATATTTCCACTAGGGCTGGGACAAGTCCAAATTTACTACCCGGGTAACCCCCCCACCCCATTATTCGACCCTACCTGGGTACACCAGGGTATCCCCCGCCATGGGGCACGTTAGAATTTTGTTTGTTCATACAGTAGAGAATTGACAGTTGATGAAGTAGTCCTCTGAAGCTTTAACAAGAGTTTGCCACTAACGTGGCTATATCCCCCGCCCCTGTTGCAGAATTTATGACATAATTAAATCTAAACAAACCCTAACCTTTTTTAACCGAGGTGGAACTTGTTTTGGAAATTGTAAAAAAATAAAAATTTCTAAAATTTCTTAATAGCAAAAGGCACCAGTTCAGCATGTACCTGACAGACCTGCAAAGTTTGATGAAAACATATTGAATGGTTTATGAGTTATGCTCCGGAAATGAACCCTACCCTCACAGAACCTAAGCCCATCTTGTTGCCATGGAAACGTAAAAAAAAAAAAAAATTCTAAATAGCAAAAGGCACCAGTTCAGCATGTACTTGACAGATCTGCAAAGTTTGATGAAAAAATATTGAACGGTGTCTGAGTTATGCTTCGGAAACAAAACCGGACGGACTTACGGAGCCCATTTCTATATCCCCCGCCAACTTTGTTGGGCGGGGAATAAAAAGAGATAGGCACTAAAAAGAGATAGGCACTTATCTAAGTATCTCTTAGATAAGGTAACTTCAGTAGTTTCAGAGAAAACACTGCACACACTATGCACTAAGTAAAATAACATGGATCAAAGGCAGTAACTGTAAAAAAAATTGCATGGGACCTATTTTCGAACTCAGTCTTGACAAGTATCTCTTAGATAAGCATGCAAACTTTCATTCAGTCAATTGTTTCTGAGAAAACTTGTCCCCATTGCACGCAGTATGCACTAAATTGAAAAGCACGGAGCAAGGGACATAACTCTCTGAAGACATAAGTGACGGGACCAATTTTCGAACTCAGTCTTGACAAGTATCTCTTTCACTCACAACTTTAGTAGCTCAGTAGGGAAAAGCACAGAGCAAGGGACATAACTCTGTAAAAAAATGAATTTATGACACCAATTTTCAAACTCATTTGGAATCATGACCAGTAACATCAGTGTGTAAAATTTCATTTCTCTGAAAAACAGTTTTTGAGAAAATTTGTCCCCTTCGAGAAGCGGACTGACAGACAGATGGACGGTCAGACGATCTCCATTCTTATATGTGGCGCGGAATAATAATGTTGTTAATAAAAAAATCCACGGTGAATCACTTGTCACTACCATGATTTTTCTTTCTGATAAGAGAGACCTCAATTACTGTCAAACATAAAAAACATTTATTATTTTTATGCACACTCAATCAATGAGTCTTGTATTTGGCACAACATGTATGTGAACGGAACACCGCACTCAGCAGTATTCCAGCAATTTGTAAATAATCGAGTTTGGACCAGACAATCCAGTTATTGATATCATGAGCATCGTTCCACGCAATAGGGATACTATGATGTGCATCAACCAAGTCAGCCAGCCTGAATCACCTGATCTCGTTAGTTGCCTCTTAGGCCAAGCATTCGTTGCCGAAAACCAATTCTAACCCGGATCTTCATGGGTGAGAAATATTTAAAAATGTGTTTGTTGGCTTACACTGCAGTCAGCAATATTCCAGCTTGGGGTCTGTAAATAACCAAATCTTTAACACAGACCAGTGATTGATGTAATGAGCAACACACCCCTGCAGTCAGGTCATGTTGACACACTATCAAACAAGCCACCAAGCCTGACAACCTGATCTGTTTCTCTTGCGACAAATACTAAGATGGAATTTCAACAGAGATATATACTCTGATATCATCGACACTTAGGTACACACGATACTTGAATCGTCAGTTTGGGAGATTGCGATATGCTATAAATAGAACAGGAACTAATAGAGTTGCCTCCCATAGGGCCAGAAGTAGCACAGCGCCACCTGTAAGCATGGCAGAACACAGGGACGTGGTAGCTGAGACTCACCAACTAACTGTTACATTTAATAACCATCCCTTCATTTAAACCTGTTTTGTTCTTTTGGTTTTCTTTGTTAAAGTTTTCAATACATAAATGTAAGAAAGAATAACACTTGGGTCAGAGCTACAGATAATCCATGTATTTCCATAAAATACCCGAAAAAACTATTCAAAACCCAATTACAATCAATTAACTTGTGTACAGAAAAGCATGCATTAAATGAAAAACTCAATTGTTCGAAAACAGCACGAGTAAATACCCAATGAAGCTTTTTCAGCATGCGTTCAACAAAATTTCCGAAACACAATTACGAGCTAATTTACTTTCTGAGTCAAACCTATAATTAGAACCGTTATATACATCTAAAACATTATTTCATTTTTTTAAATCTCAAAATGCTTACTCATTTTGGGAAAAACTGGGAGTGAAAAAAGTTTGGTTACCCAATGAAAAATGTAACACTGTATTTGACGAAATAAGCGCCCAGGGCGCTCTCAAAATTAGAAATAGGGGGCTCTTATTAGAATATTATTTTGGTGAAAAAAACAGAGTTGAAAGATAAATTTCGTGGTTTATGCTGACAGCCTGAAATGTTTACGTACGACAGATATATTTTTCCAAAATTGAATTGCCAATTGAATACGCAAATAGGGGAAGGATGCGGTGCGTATTATATGCGAATAGGGGTCGGAAGGAGTGCTAACTGGGATTGTTCAATAGCCAATATATTAGCAAATCTCGAATGGGCGCTTATTAGAGCGGGGCGCTTATTACGTCAAGTACGGTAACCCAATTAAAATAGAAATCTTCGAGTAAAAACTCTATGCTCAAAAAGTTATGTGGTGCTCTGCTGGGTGTACCAGTGAACGCTGTAATAACTAGACCAGTATCACCCAGCTATCTATGGAGAATCTGATGATCTCATCCAATACTATACCTCTTCTTCCAGTAGAGCAGCAAAGTTTTTTCGGTATCGTTGTTTGAAATCACCACCTTTGGATTTTCTCTTCCTCTTGGTAGCTGACAAAGACAACAATCAAGTAGTATTGTTTATCATGTTTCTGTAATCTTCACATATTTATGAAGTCTTTCTCGTCCATAACAAATGAAGATACAACACTGAGTTTCAGTTTGATAGTCATTTCTTGATAAATGTATTATCATTTGTACTGTAATATTAAAATTGATGTTCTCACAAAACAACGAATGCATGTGCTATTTAAGTCTTTCTTCATCTGAGTTTATACTTCTTTGAAAACAAAAAGGGATAAAATGTGCAAAATTAGAACAGTCCGAAATTGAATTCTTACAGAGTTACCCTGACTGCTCGCACACAGATACTGTTTTTTCTTGAGTAAAGTGTGCGCCCAAGTATAATGCGTGACCCCCTTAGCGGATTCAGTATTTGAGAAAAAAAAATAGCGAATATTATGCCCAGAAAACAATTACACCGTACCCCTTCACTGAATTGCGATAAACGAACGGGTGATAAGAAACTTGGTCAGCACAAATTTGAAATTTCAGATAATAAAATCACCAGACTGTTGATTTACCGTTTAAATTGTATTTTTGTTCTGCTAGGCTCCCGCGCACGTGATTGTGAGAACTACATGTTGACATAGAATCGTCAAACTACGACAAACATGACTTTTAACGAGTCAAAGTATCTACACAAACAATATTAAGTTAAGCATACATGGCAACAGATATTCATATTTTTAATCAGTCAAACAAGCCATCAATCGAAGCGGGGATTGAGAAATCAGCAAAACACTGACCTATCAAGTCCTGCAAAAAATACCATAAACACAAAATAATTTCAATGTCCTTTTATTACTAACCATTAGCATCCATTGCTTCCTCAAACTTTGGCGCCTTCTTGCTCATCTTCAAATCAGCATGAGGATCTTCAGAAAAGTTATCTTGTTCAAGTGCCTCGAGTGCCTTCCTCTGTCTACGGCGCCGGGCTGCCTCGTCCAGCACTCTCCTTTGCTGAACATCCTTGATACGACCTGCAACATGTACACAGCTAAGGATGTATTATCTGTTGATGCGAGTAGGAACTGAGAATGCGAATGAAAGAGCAGATTATTACCGTATTCGACGTAATAAGCGCCCACGGCGATATTTGCTAATATATTGGCTGGTGAACAATCCCAATTTGCACCCCTTCGTATTGATCAATGTGCACAAGACTTATTTATTCATGTATAATACACACTCGTGTGTTATATGCACCCTTAATTATGGGCAATTAAATTCTGGAAAAATATGTTTGTCGTGTATAAAACGCATAGACATTTTTTTTATATCATTCAGGCTGTCAGCATAATCAACGAAATTTACGATCTTTCAACTCTGTTTTTTTTTCACCAACATTATATTCTAATAAGAGCCCCCTATTCCTAATTTTAAGAGCGCCCTGGGCGCTTATTACTTCGAATACAGTAGTCGGTGGTAAGGATGTGTAAGGGGATATTTTTTTACTCATTTACATTACAGCCATATCTGTAAGCATGACCTCATCAGCTAGACTGTCATCCACTTAGCTTACAAGACCAAAGGAAATTCAACTAGACCTGGACCAGTTGAAGACTGCAAGAACTCCAATGTCCAACAATATATTTCACTGGTAACAGTTGCTGTGAATAGTAGCTATGTACTAGGCCTGTTATGATACACTTTGTATTCGGTAAATCAAACCTTATCCATTCATGAATTGAATTTGTTATTCACTAGAATCGAATATTTATGAATATGCAGCACATGCATTTACATAAAACAAATACCCATGAGAACATATATTTTATGCATAGATTTCTTTATAAGACAACACTCTTCTACTATTTAATTTGACAGTATTGTGGTCACTGGTCATTGTTGCATTTGAGCATATACTAGTACCTGGATAAATGCAGTAGATAAATGAATAATATATTTAATAATATAGTAAAAATTAACAAACCATGTCAAATAATTCATGTTGTTGTTGCCTCACTGAACATGCTGAATATGACAAATGATACATCAACTGCTGACTTGTTATTGTATTCATGAATTATTATTCGTATTCGTTACCCTATATTCATGATACAAATCGTATTCGCCTCATAGTGTACTTGTTGCAGCCCTACTATGTACTGTTCAACTTTACTAGCCGACATGGTCGCTTATAAATATCACAATTCATGACTTCATAGTGTTGTCAGCGTCTGATTCTGATGTTCCACCAGCCTTCAAAAGGTCTGTCACGGTTCATATTATTTAATATCATGGACATTTTAATATCCTCATTTTCCCAAATCATTCATCCCTAAGGACACCAATTATCTCGATGGAAAAAGACTTTGGCAGGAGTAATGAACAAAGGGATCAAGTTCCCTGCCTCGGCCAGAGTATGTATAAAGTATATTTACTAACAATAAACATTGTCCGAGGAAGCAAATTTGACCCCATTGTGTTTTACATGTTTAAAGTCTCACAAGTAAGGTTTGTCTTTTATTAACAATGTTTGGTTTGGTTTGGGAACATGTTATTGCAAAAGATTCCCTGATATTGTGTAACCTGAGTTATAACAGAGCTTGTTAAGGTGGTGCAAAATCAGAATTTAGTCAAATGAAGGCGTGATTCCTAGCTATATGTCATAGAAGTCTATAGCGACCAGTGCATGTTGGATAGTAAAAGGAAGTAATGCACAGCTACGATTTCACAGCTTTGGTAAAGCTCTGACACCGAGAAGATCCTGACAGGTAGGCAGCAGACAATATTACAAATGAGTTTGGGGCACATTTGTTCTTCAAAACATTATGACTTGGGCCACATTATGTTTGGCACGTTGAACAATTTGTTTTTGCAAACGATCGTTCACTTTTCATACTTTTGGCAGAACAAAAAAGCATATGGTTTATCTTTCTACTCTTTACTTTTTTCGCGGAAGTCAAATCAGTAAACTTATATTTGAACCCTGATAATTGAACTTGTTTTGTTTTGTGGTGTTTTTTGTTTGTTTAACGCCGCTCTCAGCAATGTTCCACTTCCAGCTAGGCTATATGACGGCGGTCTATAAACAATGGAGTCTGGACCAGACAATCCAGTGATTGACATGATCCTCGTTCTACGAATTCGGATACGATGACATGCATCAACCAAGTCAGTGAACCTGTCGGGAACTACTCGTTTTTTTGTATTTTGGAAAAAGTATGTAAATATCAGAAATACATAGTAATGCATTTTATACACATAATGTACCTAAATGTTATTGTTGTATTCTCGGTCCCAATAGCGTAACCGACCGGGCTCCGACTCACAGACTCAACATGAAGCGCAGCGTGTTTAGCATAGTAACCAGCCGTTCTATGGATACTGTTCTCCTAACAACACATGACAGTAAAAGAACAACAGAGACTTGTTTCATATCAATATTGTATTCACAGAGACTGGTTTCTGTATTTTTATATTTTATTTTTTCAATTTCTACCTTTTTTCAGATGTGACACGCTTCACTGTTACAGCAGTTTGGCCACTGCAGGTCCTGTGCTGCCATTTCTGACAAAAGTCACACTGAAGACACTGTCGTCTCCAACAGCAAGGCTCAGAGCAGTACAAGCAGTTATCTGACATTTTCAGAGATTGAATGATTTGCAGGTACTTACTTACTTACTTACTTACTTTGGAGATTTAACGTGCGCTTTCCGACTGATGCGTATTTCGCACACGGGCCCGGCCAGGCCATTTAATGTGTTTCCGAAAGGGGCGAAAGTGGTGTGTGCAACCCAAGAGGGGGCTTTAGGGGTTGCTTATATAGAATTTGGGAATTTTTAGATTTGGAATAGATGCGGATGGGGTTGGGGAGGAGAACTAAGGGAGCTGGGTATGGTGGATGTTTGTTTGTTTATGTGATTTTGATTTGGTAGGTTATTGTGTTTTTAGATGCGTTTTATTAGTTCCGTTTTGATTAAGAATACGCCTAAGGCCTTGTAGTTTTCTAGTTTATTTTGTGGGTTTAGTATTGCTTCTAGAGTGAGAGCCTTGTTTAGATTGAGGGTTGTTTGTTATGCGGTTCGATGTGTTAGGTAGTGTGTGCAGTGGATGAGTGCGTGTTCTGGGGTTTCTAGTTGTTTGCAGTGTGGGCAGTTACCTGTAGTGTGTTTTTTTATTTTTTTTAATGTGGTTATTTAGGTTGGTGTGTCCTGTTTGGAGTTTAGTGATTACTCTGTCGATTTTGTTTGATGGGTGGAGAATTTTTGGTTTGGTTAGTGGTTTGCTGAGCACTTTTTGGATTTGGCTATTTGAGTTTAGATATAGGTTATGCCATTTTTTTGTGATTTTTTGCTTGTTTACACTTTTAAATTCTGATTTTGAGATTGGTAAGTTTAAGCTTATTTCTGGGATTTGCAGGTGTTGTCTATGGTTTTTTATATTGCTTTGGGAACATTTCTAGATTGAGAGAATGACGTCATGGCGTTGTTTTGATACAATTGGTGTCACTCTCGGTGACATCACATCACATCACTGATTGATTAGTTTGGGCGATAAAAAATAAATACCAATCTATTAACGTTGTTGTTTCAAGTTGAGCGGATTACCTGAGAAAACTCAACAGAGTTCATCAAGGGATTACTGTACTATGATAACAAATAGTTGTCACTTTACCATTATATCTGCGTTGACCAATCAAAGGCGAGAATTCTTCGAAACTCCGGGAAAAAATACAAATGCCAGTTTAGTGAACATGTGGAGGTGCAACTGCAGGGTACGTTGTGTTATCTTCAGGATATGATTTATGGATTTATTATTTGATGGATATAACGAACCCATGAGGTATGTAAAGACTTAAGTGATCTTTTAATGTATGTTTTTAGGATGTAAATATGACAGAAGACAATTCTATGGATGATACGTTTGTTTGTTTTTATTATTTCCATACTTGTGTATGAATATATACTCGGACCCCGTGGTACCGCGGCATTCATCGTATCGCGGCATTTGTGATTTCCGGTAGTTCACGCGGGACACGCCTCTTAGCGGCTGTCTATTAATGCAAATCAGTAACCAGGAAGTGCTCATTTCGTAAACAATTTCAATTTCATCGGAATTTTCCGTCTACTGTAAGTAAGAAGTTATTAATGCGATGATACTTACTTCTGGCATCTTTTTTAATATTGCCTTACCCCTATCTATCAATGGACAACGATATAACCCGCAGTTTCTCAAGTAAACTTTGTCTATTGACCTGAACTAGATCATCTGCATATTCATGGCGACTAATAAGGTAACGGAAGTTACGGAGTCCGCACATTTTTTCCCGCTCTGTGCCCAGAATCTATTGGGAGATCATAAGGGCCATAATGCAAAACTTAGAAATAGGTTCTTCACTAGTAGCCAAAAGATAAATACATACTTTGTGCATACTAGGAGTGCTTTTAATATATTTATTGTTGACTTTTAAAAAAATTCCATTTTGTGACAAATTATTGTCATCAAATTTTTTTTTAAAACAATCTTAGACTATGATTTCTGATATTTTGTTGTTGATTTTTTAAATATTCTTCTCTTACTTTTCGGTAAATATGCATTGAATACCTATTACTGATAACACATTTAGAATTTTACTTGTGCTGTCTTTGCTTTTGTCTGGACAAATCACCGATGTCTGGCATGATCATACTAAGTGGTTGGTAGAATTCTGTCCTCTTTTTGTCCAATTTGGACCTCCATACACAACTTTTCTCTGTACCGCGATACGATGGAGTTATCTCCCTTGTCAAACTGAGCGCGAGGCCCGGCTTTTACTCGGAGCTACTAATATAAATAATGAACTTTTATCAGTAAAATATGCATTGTTAGATCAAATAAATGACATCTGATATAGAGAACACGAATACTCATAAAGGTTAGTGAGTGCATTTTGTTCCGTTTAGCGTACATGACAAGTACCGCGATACCCCGAGGTTGCAGGCTACTAGTCATTGTGATCATTAGGCCTAACCAATGTTATATTTGCCAAACGCATACCAAAATATTATGTATATTTTTTAGGCGAGTCGGGTCAGATTTTTTTAGGCGAGTCGGGTGCAACTCCATCCAGCGATTGACATGATCCCTCGTTCTACGTAATTCGGATACGATGACATGCATCGACCAAGTCAGTGAACCTGACCAATGACCACCTGATCCGGTTAGTCGCCTCTTACGACAAACATGGGTAACTGAAGACCAATTCAGAACTTGAGTTGCATTCGATTGTCTGTCTGGGGTGTTCTGCTTTGTCGTGATATTATATACAGTTTACCCATGAAGTAAGATACTGCTAATATATAAATATACGAGTTCATCTAATGTTATCAAACCTGATTCACGCTTTTCTCCCGCCATCTTGCTAACGATCTTATTTCCGGTCACTGTTTACGACATATCGCCACAGTAAACGGGATATATTTCAGTCAGATATAGTGTTTAGAATGATTCATATTTATATTCTATGTGATAACTAATCAACAAGCCATTACAATAAGTTACAAACTAAAGTTAAAAATAATTCGTGTTGTCGTTCTGTGATAACCATGAATAACCGACTCCACCGCACAGCATTTACCTCCCCTTCATGAGCATCCCGTGAACAAGTTTAAACAAACCTATTTCTGAGTGAGTGAGTGAGTATGGTTTTACGCCGCTTTTAGCAATATCACGGCGGGGTACACCAGAAATGGGCTTCACACATTGTACCCATGTCGGCAATCGAACCGGGGTCTTCGGAGACCTTGTTCTGAAAGTGGTTTGGGTTTGAGAACTAAATTTTGCTCTACACCCATGTATAGTGTAATATAAGATCGATACGCGAGAAATCGCGCGATTTATAAAAGAAATAAAGTTTGCTCTTCCCTCGTGAAGATGAATAACGGTATCAAAGGCCGCACGGCCAATAATACAATACATGAAATAAACAACTGTTAAACTATCTCAATACAATATTTACGATACATTATACAGACAGATTTCTTTTCCAATATATAGCAATATTTTTAATTAGCTTCACATTTTCTGTTGCTATACTTGTTGATTAAATTTCGCTCGTGATGGATACACTTGTAATGGTAGCTTGGATGTAGAGCTTTCTGTTTTAAAATATAAAATAAAATTGACAAACTGAAAGGAAGTGGCATTCATCTTCAATTATATTATACTTACATTTCTTGCACTTCGGTAAATCGACCCGTGAAGATCCGGGGTAGAATAGGTCTTCAGCAACCCATGCTTGCCGTAAAAGGCGACTATGCTTGTCGTAAGAGGCGACTTATGGGATCGTGTGGTCAGGCTTGCTGACTTGGTTGATGCATATCATGATTGTCATCGATCCAAATTACCTCTTACGAAATTGCATGCCAATTGTGAATCTCTATGCCTTTACATCTTTGCTTAAAACATTGTATAAAATTCGATATGCTGCCACACTCCTGTGAGATCCAAACATACGTAAATCCGGTATCTAACAGCAACAAACGAACATGCGTTACCCAGGTGTTGCTGCCGTTTTCATCCTGTGATTTCAACACGCCATAGGGGGGCACGGGTGGCCCAGTCGTCTAAGGCGCCGCGATTCGCTGTGCAGAGTTGCGTCCCTTGGGCACGCCAGAAACCTATGATTGTGGGTTCGAATCCCTGTTTGCCCCGATAATGTTTCTAGGTTTGTCAGCACCATACTTCTAGGTCTGTCAGCACCATACCCGTGCTCGTGGGTTTCACCGAAGTGGTAAACGTCTGAGACCTGCATCACTTCGGGCTTTCCTGCCACATAAAGCTGACACGCCGTGGTATAACTGGAATACTTTTAAAAGTATTTAAATTGCGAGTTGCGGGTCATGTTGTCAATCACTGGATTGTCTGGTCCAGACTCGATTATTTACAGACTGCCGCAATATAGTTGGAATATTGCCCAGTGCGGCGTTAAACAACAAACAAATGATACTAATGGAACACATGATGTACGGAGTTTCTTTGACCTTGTTCTGGTAATACCTTCCTATTAGACTCGTGTCCACTGTTGCCCTGTCTGTAACGTCATCAACTGTCCACAGTTGCAGTCAATGTGCGTTACCACCCACACCCAAAATCTGCTTATGCATTTCTTTTTTCTCAGAGTATATTCAAATATATTGTAGGGGAAGATCTAGTTTTATTATCATGGTAATGTCTGTCTACAATAGATGGAGAGAAATGATTGTTTGGATGAAAATTATCATCTGGAACCACTTCATGTATCAGTGTGATAAAAACTAGCCACAAGACTATGACAAGAGGGATGAATTCAGCTTCCTCTTCATCTCAAGCCAATATTCCAGCAGCGCCTGCCTTTGGTGTCTACAATCCAGTGTTTCATATTGTGATAAACGATCCACACCCTTAAGGTACAATGACCCACTCAACCAAGGCACTGAACCTGACCACCCGATCCAATAAATTTCCTCTGACAACAGCAAAGATTGCTTGGAGTGAGTAAGGTTTTGTGCCGCTTTTAGCAATATTCCAGCAATATCACAGCGGGGGACACCAGAAATGGGCTTCACACATTGTACCCATGTCGGGAATCGAACCCAGGTCTTTGGCGTGACGAGCGAACGCTTTAACCACTAGGGACCTCACCGCCCCTAGTTTGCTTGGAAGAAAGACTAGAGGTGGTGAGGTGAAATTGGGTTTAACGTCGCGTCCAAGATTATTGCACTTATGTGTGTGTGTGTGTGTGTGTGTGTGTGTGTGTGTGTCTGCTTGTACTAGTCCGGACTGATGCCGATTTATAGTGCTAGCTCACTGAGATACCATGCCGACGTTTAACATGAATACCCCACTCAGACACAGTATACTGACTCCGAGCTGACCAGTCCTTGTTTTAGCCCCTTCTGAGTACCATCTTTTTACGTCTTTTGGTATGAAGCTGCCGGGGATCGAACCCCGGACCTTCCGCTCTCCGGGCGGACGCTCTAGCACTAGACCACGGATGCGGTCTCAAAGACTAGAAAGATAGGATGGGAAGGCTGCAGTGACAGCCTCTGGCGACATACCAGTAGGCCAAGTGAATCGAGGTCTTTGCTTGAAACCAATTCAAAAATGGAATTCCCACAGTGTCAGTCTAGGTCAGACAAACCAGTGGTTGATAGCATGAGCAACATTCCAGGTCTTTTGGTACTCATGGTGGTTCAGGTCACACTTGCACGACTGTGATCCTGTTATTTACTAGAACCAACCTTTGCCTAAGAACACAAGTAAAACTGGTATTTACTTGGCCAAAAGCGTACGTGGTGTGCTGTGACTGTGCTGTGATTTGTATGTCATGTAGTTCACGTAATATACCATGATACCCAGTGAGGTGGCCTAGCTTTGGTTACTGGTGGCCTATAGCCCGTGTTCACTGTATTAATGATTGTGTTATGTATGTTTGATAAAATGTGTTTTGAATATAAATTTGCATTGATGACTCACTTGTGAATATATAAACTTGGTCTCGTTGCTATATGGCTGAAATAATGCTGATGCGCCTTAAATTGTACCGGACTCATATAATATACTATTCAACTTTTGATGGAGATAACAAGATACCGTATTCAATGTAATAGGCGACCAGGGCATTCTCAAAATTAGAAATAGAAGCCTCTAATTAGATATATATTTTTTTTGGAAAAAAACCAAGAGCTTAAAGATCGTAAATTTCGTGGTTTATGCGGACAGCCTGAAATGATACAAAAGAAAAGTCTGCGTATTATACACGACAGATATATTATTCCAGAATTTAATTGCCCATAATTAAAGCTGCATATAACACACAGGTATAAATAAGTCTTGTGTACATTGATCAGTCGGAAGGGGTGCTAATTGGGATTGTCCACTAGCCAGTATATTAGCAAATATCTCCATGGGCGCTTATTAGAGCGGGGCGCTTATTACGTCGAATACGGTCTGTCACATATATCTAAAAATACATCAAGATAAAATATATCCCTTTCAAAAGTGGAATAGTATAACTGCTACCAATTTTCAATTAAAGTTATACTATCACCACGACTTTAGACATATAAGGTACCATACATATTTCTTCAATTCACACAAGATCTTTTTGTTTCTACAATATCCATACCAAAACATAATCCAAAGAAAAACGATTGCATAGAGTATAAGTACACATTTATTCCATGATGAGACAATATTATTTCAGGGTGAAGATCACAGAATATAAGGACATCTCCATGTTGGAGGAGTCTGGAGGAAGAAGTCGATGTCTAAAGACTGACGTCTCATGAATAGTCTGCACTAATATCCTCGTACTCAATGATCACGTGATATTCAATGTCATGTGACTTGCATATGTACACACTTTGACGAAAACAAGGCTCAAACTCGAGGCAAGGGAGTTAACTCACTATAAAAGTCCAGTTTCCGCCCTTGCTGAACTAGGCTGGAATTCTGGAGTTACAGTTTGGCTGAACTTACATGTCTTTGCATTGTCTAATAAAAATCGCGTAACGAACTAGACATCTGGTTTGTAAACAACATGGATTACACCATGCAAATTTCGGTCAACTGCAGGATTTGCAAACATGTCTACCATCAACTTGGCATTGACAGATGTTTTCCAAATCTTTTAATGTTTTTAATCAAGGTGCTCAAGTGATTTGATGCACTTTGCGCAGTAAGACCCTCATATTCCAATATAGACCTTGAATTATCGATCAGGTCGTCTTGACTAGCGCCGCCCTTTTGTTTGAATCAAATCCAAGTAACACAAGGAGGTGGAATCTGATTGGTCAATAGGAGGGGCAAAGAACGGACTCTTAATAGTCACTGGACGCTCTATGATCGAGCCATGAAATTGAAGCCTTGGTTGGCAAGGGTGGAAACTGGACTTTTATAGTCAGTTAATGCCCTTGGCTCAGGAAAATGATTTGTGTTGGCAAATAAACAATCATGTAGAATTTGCAAACCAGATTTGCCTGGTCTGTACATTGCCTTGTTGTGCAGTGTCCCCATGAATGTGTTGTGCCTTGTTGTGCAGTGTCCCCATGAATGTGTTGTGCCTTGTTGTGCAGTGTCCCCACTGTGTTGTGCCTTGTTGTGCAGTGTCCCCATGAATGTGTTGTGCCTTGTTGTGCAGTGTCCCCACTGTGTTGTGCCTTGTTGTGCAGTGTCCCCTCTAATGTGTTGTGCCTTGTTGTGCAGTGTCCCCATGAATGTGTTGTGCCTTGTTGTGCAGTGTCCCCACTGTGTTGTGCCTTGTTGTGCAGTGTCCCCATGAATGTGTTGTGCCTTGTTGTGCAGTGTCCCCACTGTGTTGTGCCTTGTTGTGCAGTGTCCCCATGAATGTGTTGTGCCTTGTTGTGCAGTGTCCCCACTGTGTTGTGCCTTGTTGTGCAGTGTCCCCTCTAATGTGTTGTGCCTTGTTGTGCAGTGTCCCCACTGTGTTGTGCCTTGTTGTGCAGTGTCCCCTATAATGTGTTGTGCCTTGTTGTGCAGTGTCCACACTGTGTTGTGCCTTGTTGTGCAGTGTCCCCTCTAATGTGTTGTGCCTTGTTGTGCAGTGTCCACACTGTGTTGTGCCTTGTTGTGCAGTGTCCCCTCTAATGTGTTGTGCCTTGTTGTGCAGTGTCCACACTGTGTTGTGCCTTGTTGTGCAGTGTCCACACTGTGTTGTGCCTTGTTGTGCAGTGTCCCCACTGTGTTGTGCCTTGTTGTGTAGTGTCCACACTGTGTTGTGCCTTGTTGTGCAGTGTCCACACTGTGTTGTGCCTTGTTGTGCAGTGTCCACACTGTGTTGTGCCTTGTTGTGCAGTGTCCCCTCTAATGTGTTGTGCCTGGTCTGCACCTTGCATTGTGGTGTTGTGATGTGTGCGACATTGTCATGCGTTGTTCAGGCTACTTGTGGTGGCAGATCTGCTCCATGACAGTACTGAACAACGCCATCAGTTGAAGATACTCATCGGCGCCATCCATTAAACACTTGTCAACAATCTGAATAGACAAAACAACAAGTCAGCAATGGAGTGTATATCCTTATCTGTGGAGGGGCTGGTCATTAATTATGGGGGTGGAGGGTGGGGTGGTTGTTAAGATAGGATTAAGTGGAGGAGGGTCATTTATTATAGGGGGTGGAGGGTGGGGTGGTTGTTAAGATGAGATTAAGTTGGGGAAGGTCATTTATTATAGGGGGTGGAGGGTGGGGTGGTTGTTAAGATGAGATTAAGTGGGGGAGGGTCATTTATTATAGGGGTGGAGGGTGGGGTTGTTAAGATGAGATTAAGTTGGGGAGGGTCATTTATTACAGGTGTGGAGGGTGGGGTGGTTGTTAAGATGAGATTAAGTTGGGGAAGGTCATTTATTTTAGGGGATGGAGGGTGGGGTGGTTGTTAAGATGGGATTAAGTTGGGGAGGGTCATTTATTACAGGGGTGGAGGGTGGGGTGGTTGTTAAGATGGGATTAAGTGGGGGAAGGGTAATTATTAATAGGGGGTGGAGGGTGGGGTGGTTGTTAAGATAGGATTAAGTGGAGGAGGGTCATTTATTATAGGGGGTGGAGGGTGGGGTGGTTGTTAAGATGAGATTAAGTTGGGGAAGGTCATTTATTATAGGGGGTGGAGGGTGGGGTGGTTGTTAAGATGAGATTAAGTGGGGGAGGGTCATTTATTATAGGGGTGGAGGGTGGGGTTGTTAAGATGAGATTAAGTTGGGGAGGGTCATTTATTACAGGTGTGGAGGGTGGGGTGGTTGTTAAGATGAGATTAAGTTGGGGAAGGTCATTTATTTTAGGGGATGGAGGGTGGGGTGGTTGTTAAGATGAGATTAAGTTGGGGAGGGTCATTTATTACAGGGGTGGAGGGTGGGGTGGTTGTTAAGATGGGATTAAGTGGGGGAAGGGTAATTATTAATAGGGGGTGGAGGGTGGGGTGGTTGTTAAGATGGGATTAAGTGGGGGAGGGTAATTTATTATAGGGGGTGGAGGGTGGGGTGGTTGTTATGAGATTAAGTGGGGGAGGGTCATGAAAAAATTACAGTGAAAAAGTCCTTGCCACTTGACATAGAATCACAAAATATTGCGATGATTAATTAGCAAAATAAATGTATGACTAGTCCCTAATTGTCTTCGAGGCTCGAAATGAACCACTGTAATCAGATGTGAATTAAAATAAAGAAACAATCTAAACTGAGATGCAACACATTCTGATGGTCTCCATCCCCCAGTCTAGTCTGATGACAACCTACATCACCAGGGAACACTGACACAACCAAGGCAGGGGGCCTGACCGGAGGGTCGGGTAGCCTAGAGGTTAAAGCGTTCGCTCGTCATGCCGAAGACCTAGGTTCGATTCCCCACATGGATACAATATGTGAAGCCCATTTCCGGAGTCTCCAGCTGTGATATTGCTGGAATATTGCTAAAACAGTTGTAAAACATACTCACTCACTCACTCAGACAGCCTGATTCAACATTACAGTTAGCTCTTGCACAAGGTAATGAGGATCTAATCTGAACTGGACATGGCACCTACCCTACCCTACCCCATCCCACCCCACCCTATTTTTGTTTGTGATAAAATACATTTTCAGACAGCTCTCAATCTCAATAAAATCAAATCTTAGTTCTCGCTTCCGCTAAACAAAGATCTGAGGACATCCCATTACAGGTCACGTCAGACCGACCTTGCGCGAACTTTGACCAACCAATGGAATGACCAATCACAAGGGAGCTTTCTTGTGCTTTACGGCACTAATTTCAAATTGGCGACTACGCTTCGAAACATATTTTGACAAATTCTCGATTACAAATTTGAAACCTGAAAAAAAGAACATTCTGGAATGGCTTATAGATGGTCTAGATTGTATGGATTCTGTTGTTTTACCCGTAACTATCGTTCAGATAACCCCGTGTTAATGTTTTCGAGGTTGAATGATTAGAAATCACATTCCGACAGTCATTTTCATAATCTGGTAAGCAAAGCTCTGATTAGTCGGATGAAAGGTCGTTCTGACCTGACCCCTAATGGGATGTCCTCAGATCTTTGTTTAGTGGTAGCGGGAACTAAGGTCTGATTTTAATGAGATTGGACAGCTCTTCAAGACATAATTTTTTTCTCTTCAAGAACCAAACAATTCTTTTTTACTCAAAGACACAGCATGTGCAATGAACAAGTTATTCATTTTTTTATTTTCTGAGGACTAGTTATTTTCTCCCTATTATTTTCAGTAACATGTTGTGAAACAAAGTCCCAGAACCTCAAATGGTCGGCCCCATGTATATTTTTACAAATAAGCACCATTCTGTCATGTTTCAAGCACATACCGCCATTTTTTCACAGATGGCCGACTTCTGATGATCGCTGAGTTCCCCCAGAGAGACAATCTCGTCGTGGAGCTGTGTCAGCACCTGCGTCGCGGAGTACCCTTCACTGATGATGTGCTGCAAACAGAACCGTCAACTCATCAAACAGCTGTATAATAACAAATAGCACAGCTGTACTTTTAATATGCAGCAGTTACAAGGGCAGATCCAGCATTTGTAAAAGGGAGGGGTCCAAAATATCAAAATCCTCTCACAGATAATTTTACTGCCTACAACGGTTAAAAAAAAGGAAGGGGGGTACTGACCCCTTGGCACCCCCCTCTGGATCCCCTATGAGTTTAAATCACCAGTTTGTTTGTTTTGTTTTGTTTTGCACTCAGCAGTATTCCAGCTATATGACGGCGGTCTGTAAAATAATCGAGTCTGGACCAGACAATCCAGTGATTAATATCATGAGCATCGATCCACGAAATTGGGATCGATGACATGCATCAACCAAGTCAGCGAGCCTGACCACCAAATCCCGTTAGTCGCCTTTCACGACAAGCATAGTCACCTTTTACGGCATGCATGGGTTGCTGAAGACCTATTCTACCCCGGATCTTCACGGGTCTTAAATCTTAAAGCTTTCAGTGTTCTACATGAGAAGGGCACAACAACTCATTCAGTCAGTTTCTGACGTAAATAAATATCTAGTTGTTAATTGTTAATTTCATATTATTTCTTCCATGTTGATGTGGCAGAAGACTACATACTTTAGCCTTCTGTGCAGACTTCATGGGTTCGAATCCCGCTGGCGACTTATGTTTTCCATTTCAATTGTTACTTCATCAAGGAAAATGATAGGAGAAAAGAAGTTCCGTCATCGCCAAGTGGTGTTAAACTAACAATTCATTTGGTTAATATAGCTTTTAAGTGTGAGTTATTTGACATAAGCTTTCATTGGTTGGCATGGAAGGGCATAAATGCTGTCAGAATATCTGGATTTATTACCTACGAGGGCAAACATATCGGGGTTCATAAAAATCACGTGTCCTAGGGTCAATCACGTCACAAGACAATTGTGTATTGTTTCCGTCATCTGGACGGCATTGTTGACGTCATTCAAATCTTATTGTGACTTAATGTCCGAATGACGTCACACTAGAAACGTCATCATAGCTGAAGATAGTTTACGTCATTCGACAAATTGTGGTTCCGCTGCTGTTGCGACTTTCTGTCCTTGTAGGTAAACACTAAAATTTGTCTCTGTATGTGGACATCTTCTTCGGTAATAAATAGAACATAATATTCGTGTTTATGTCATACTATGTTTACGACACTCGTGCCTAAATACCGGAATTTAGACGCTCGTGTCGTAAACATAGTATGACATGAACACTCATATAATATCCTCTACATATGTCAGAGCGAATGAATGTTGTTTCAAGAATAAAGTTAGCAATATTTGCAGTATTTTGGGAAAGACGTCGCGTCCAAGATTATTGCACTTATATAGCGACGTGCATGCACGTGTGTGTGTGTGGCTGCTTGTACTAGTCCGGACTGATGCCGATTTATAGTGCTAGCCCACTGAATACCCCAATCAGACACAGTATACTGACTCCGAGCCAACCAGTCCTTGTTTTAGGCCCTTAATGCCGAGCGCCAAACATGGTAAGAACAAGTACCATCTTTTAACGTCTTTTGGTATGACGCGGCCGGGGATCAAATCCCGGACCTTCCGCTCTACCACTAGACCACGGAGGGGGTCGTAGTATTTTTGGAAAGGACAGAGCCTTAGGCCCTTGTGCAACCTCGTGCCTCTCATACACACGTCAATGTGTTGATGGGGCTGCAGATTCTACAGAACTTACCTTGACAGTTTTATCCAGCTTGTCGTAGGAGTCGGAATGACATGTCTTCAATACTCTCTCTACCATCTTCTCTGGACAGACCTGAAGAAGCAGTAAGATTAAAACTCTGAACCAGTGACAGGGTGTTAGTGTTTGAGTGTTCGTTGTTTGATGCAATATTCCGGCTATTTGACAGCGGTCTGTAAATAATCGAGTCTGGTCCAGACAATCCAGTGATTAATATTATGAGCAATGATTCACGGCATTGGGGTATGATGACACACAATCAACCAAGTCAGCGAGCCTGGACACCCAATCCATCAAATCGCCTCATACAACAAACACAGGTGGTTTGGGACCAAATCTGACCCGGACACCCGAGATGGGTGCAGGGAGTTAAAACATGAGAGTTATATCAAATTAAAATTCTATTATCATGATTATACAGGACTCGTGAACATCCGGGTTAGAATGGGACTTCAGCAACCCATGCTTGTCTTTAAAGGCGACAATGCTTGTTGTAAGAGGCGTCTAACGGGAACGGGTGGTCAGGCTCGATGACTTGTCATTGTATCCCATTTGCGAGGATCGATGCTCATGATGTTAATCACTGGACTGTCTGGTCCAGAATCGATTATTTACAGACTGCGGTCATATAGCTTCAACAGTGCTTAGTGCGGCGTCAAACAAGAAACAAACAAAACAAACAAACATGATTTTACAGTGGATGTGTCAGCTTCAGGAACATTGGCAACCAACTTACCCCTGCTATCTCCCACACAACGTCCTCAGTAATGGTCTCCTCCGCCTTCAACCGAGACGAACTCTGTAGATACGTGATGGCTTTCCGCAGGTCCCCCTCCGAAGTCTCCATCAGGGCTTTGATGGCCTACACACACAAGACATGATTATTGTCAGGTTATCAACACAGCCAGACAACCAGTGGTTGATACTATGAACATCATTGTTGGGGTATGGCGACAATCAATCAACCTTGGACCGAGCCTGATCAACGCACCACTTTAATCTTCTTACACCAAGCAATTGGGTCTAGGGCCCTTCCCGTACATGGGAAACGCAGGGATCAACAAGTCATTTAAAGAGACGAGCTGACCACAATACATTAACAAATGTTATATTTGTGAAACTCCTCAAAACAGGTTTTCCTATTCTTTTTGTACAATGGCAAACATTCGCTAGCTATAGTTTATGTTACACACATTTCAGACGAGACCTATGAGTGGAGATACACCGGTGAGATGCCATCGATGATAATCAAGAGCAAATCTGGGATTCAAACTAGGGCTGGGACGAGTCCAAATTTACTACCCGGGTACCCAACCCCCTATTAGGGCTGGGACAAGTCCAAATTTACTACCCAGGTACCCGCTGTAGGTCTCAAGAGGTAGGTACAAACTGTCCGATTGGGGAAAGTTTGACCGTAGCTCTGGTAAAATGTGTTTAGATACAGGTATGAAACGATCTGGTGGATACACTGAAGTTGACTGAAGTTATATTTTTATTCAAACATATAAAAGTCAGAAGGAATGGACATAGTAGTCAGGATGAACTGCGAACATTAGTGACTTGTAGTTTAAACATAGAGTTTTAGATACTTTTTGTCATTAAACAATAAATCACGTGACTAACTACGGGTCCGGCTAGTCCTGTGGGTACACGGATCCTACTCAGTACCCACCCGACCCAAGTACCCGAGTTACCTGTCCAGCTCTAATTCAATGAATGGCAGACCCTGGCACTACCAAGGGACACAACTCTTCACAGTCCCTGCTTGGAGAAACCCTGTGTGCATATAAAACAGTACATCACAACATACCTTCTCATCACAATCCACGTTTTCTTTCTCACAGATGAGTTTAATTCTCCTTGTCAAGACCTCCTCAGAGAGTGGCTTAAAGCGGAACTTGGCGCATCTTGACGTGATGGGTTCGATAATTCGACTGACGTAGTTACAGATGAGGCAGAAACGTGTGGTCCTCGATTCTTTCTCCATTGTACGCCGCAACGCAGCCTTCAAAGAAAATAATCACAATGAGGTGTCTTTCCTTGCAATGAAAAGTATCATTTCCGTATCGTAAGATCATACGTTTTTGGACGGCTATGTTAATCGCGATTATTCGCGCTGTAACAAGGGTTGTGGCGTCACACATACATTGTAAATACCCAGATGATGTCTTTTTTTTAAGTTACAGTGAAGAGTTGTTTTACAGTTGTTCTTGTGATTAGCTTGAAAACTCTGTTTTTTAAGTGTCTGAGTGAGTGAGGTTTTACGCCGCTTTTGGCAATATTCCAGCAATATCACGGCGGAGGACACCAGAAATGGGCTTCACTCATTGTACCCATGTCGGGAATCGAACCTGGGTCTTCGGCGTGACGAGCAAACGCTTTAACCACAAGGCTACCCGACCGCCCTTTAAGCGTCTGAAACTCACAACACAGGGATATATCACAAAACAGCTCATGCGAGTGTGTTTTAGATGGTAAATATCCTGTATTAGGAATAAGCTTTGTCTTTAGCGAGCATAGCGAGCTACAATTCCACCAGTCAGCCTACGTAACACTGACACCCTATCCTGACTGCAGCTGTTCTCACCTGTGCAGCTGTTGTCATGGAGTCCGCTTCGTCAAGAATAATAATCTTAAATGGTGGACATGGCTTCCCACTGAAAAAACAGAAGGAATGATATTTAACATTAATGTTTGAGGTGAGGTGAGGTGAAATGAGCGGTAAAGATTATTGCACTTATATAGCAAGTGTGCATGTGCATGTACTAGTCCGGACGGACCCGTGAAGATTCCGGGGGAGAATAGGTCTTCAGCAACCCATGCTTGCCGTAAAAGGTGACTACGCTTGTCGTAAAAGGCGACTAACAGGATCGGATGGTCAGGCTCGCTGACTTGGTTGATGCATGTCATCGATCCCAATTGCGTGGATCGATGCTCATGATATCAATCACTGGATTGTCTGGTCCAGACTCGATTATTTACAGACCGCCTTCATATAGCTGGAATATTGCTGAGTGCGGCGTTAAACAACAAACCAAACCAAACTAGTCCTGATGACTGCCTAGCTCCAGGCAGGGTAACAACAAGTACCATCTTTTAACACCTTTTGGTTTGATGTGGCCAGGAATTGAACAACCGACTGTCCGCTCTCTCTGTGGATGTTTATATATGCCACTGAGATGGCAAAAAGGTATCCTCATGATACTTGTCACGAAATAAAGCCGAACTAGGCTGGAATTATGAAGGAACGAAACCAACATCTCATGTCGATTCCAGGATGTGCAGTACTGTCAAATGGATGTCAACAGATGTTCTACAAATCTTTTCATCTATTTAATCAAGGTGCAAGTGATTTGATCCGAGGTAAGACCCATTTTATTACAAACAAGAGTCATCAGAAAGATGACATATGCCCCCGGCAGCGGTCTGTCAAGTAACCACAAGTAAATGTGCAATCCTGTATGTAATGAGTCAAGAGTTGAATGTTCTTTAAGAAGCATACATTGTTTACCCACAAAAGATCCACCATGGTCGCATCCATATGAAATGGAAAGTAAAACACGTGTATTTCTGTGGGTTTTTTTATGCAAACAAATGACAAATCACAAGAAACAATAACTAAACAAGCGTATAGTCAACGAAGTCATCTATATCCCCCGCCCATTTTAACACGTTATGGTCCCAAACTACCGTATATCGCTGTGTATAATAGTGGTGTAACGATACGGCGATACAGTATTGTATCCCGATGCACAGCCCACGATACGATGCATCGATTTGGAAAGCATGTATCGCGATACATACGATATGGAAAGACATTACCGTGAGCACGTAACACTGGAAATACCATGTCAGTGAGTGAGTAAGGTTTTACGCCGCTTTTAGCAATATTCCAGCAATATCACGGCGGGGGACACCAGAAATGGGCTTCACACATTGTACCCATGTCGGGAATCGACCCCGGGTCTTCGGCGTGACGATCGAACGCTTTAACCATTAGGCTACCCGACCGCCCCGGAAATACCATGTCAACAAATCCATACTGAAGTTCGCAAATTATTCATGTAATTACACTGTCTGGCTATAAAAAGTGTTCTTTGTATATCTGGACTTATGTTTGTAACTTATTTCATTAATTTTATTCAAAATTACTTTTAATATTGTTTTAATTAATTTCGGCGAAATCGTGTGTGAAGCGATCGGAAGATCGCACAACTCACCGTTATTAACAGCAACCACGGTCAGATTACCGCCATTGACGCCTTGAAGCGAACTTTAGTTGACAGAGAATGGATACATATGTCATAAATGCCATACTTTAATTCGTTAAAAGTCATATTTGTTTTTGTTGGACGATTCTATGTCAACACGTAATTCTTGCGATCAAGCGATCACGTGCACGGGAGCCTTGACGGTGACTGGTCAGACTGGTTGCATGTAAAAAAATAATACCCGGCAATAGCGATCAGCTGCTTCGCTTAGGGTTATTATTATTTTAAATATGTTTAGTAAAAGCTGCATCTAAATTAACAAGATATTGGAATATATTATTCCTGATAAAAAAAAATAGTTTCAGATACAACTTTTGCCGATCCTTGCATTAAAATCCTGTAAAGTTATATCATTGGGTGTGTCTTGACCGAATCACTAGTAGATTCCAAGAAAAAGTGTGTACAGCTGATTGATGTGTCCGGCTTAGTTTACGAGAAAATACACAAGGTAATCTTAGTCCCTGGATATAAAACAATGCCTAGCTGAACAAAAAATACAATTTAAACGGTAAATCAACATGTCTGGTGATTTTTTATCTCAAATTTCGAATTTGTACTGACGAAGTTTCTCATCACCCGTTCGTTTGCCGGACTTCGCTGAAGGAGTACAGTGTAATTTTTTCTGCGCATAATATTCAATTATTTTTTTTCTCCAAAATATTGAACCCGCTAGAGGGGGGTGCACATTATACATTGGTGCGCACTATACTCAAGAAAATACATGAAATACGTTTAACAGTTTCAAAGCCAGTTTGTTGTTTCAGTAAAACATACTGTATTGCTGACAATTTGCTATAACAGTAAATAAACACATTAAATCTTCAACTGTACTTGTCACATCTTTTAGAGAGCAGAAAGACATCAACTTGGCTTAGCTTGTACCAGTAAACACTGTATCGTGATACGTATCGTATCGCGACCCTCCCGTATCGTTACACCTCTAGTGTATGAGGCGAGTTTTTCGTACCTAAAATGAGGGGGTTAAGAAGGGGGGTTGTCTTATACATGGAGTCGAAGATCTCACATTTTTTTCCACTGGCGATGACAAACGGCATCCGATAGCCAGCCCAGCATTTGACAATAAAACTTCGGATTTTGTCCTAAATAACTGTTCCAATAACTATTTCCATACATAAACATGATTTGTATCTCTTTTCCTTGAACAAAGTTTAATAATTTCTGCAAATAAAGTTGAAATGACCCTCGCCTCGATGCAGATTGTCAAACTACCTGACACGGTAAAACAATCAACATCCGTGAGTAGAGAGCCGGAAGTACCGGTAAGCATTTGCATATTGCACATGTGACCTAACATGTGATAACCGGTGAAGCTGAAATCAATTCCCGCTGTTTTTACAGTTGTATTAACAAGTGTTGGAGACGGTGTGTACAAGTGATTGTGAAATAAACACGATGAATGTGAAGCAAACATAAGCCTAGTTAGTTACAACATAGTTAATTGGCGATTAAATTACTCACCATTGTCTCTTATTAGTTATTACTTCATAAATGAATTTTATTTTACGGGCACCAATTTGGTGTCGTACCGTGTAAACACAAAATGGCGACGTGTGCTGGAGTTACACACGCGACCTATCATTGTAGAAAAAACAACGCAAGATAAACATATCTTTATTGCATATATAAGGTTTGTGTGCACACTTGTGATGTGCTTCATTCCAGGTCGCCTTATACAAGGAGTATAGGATTTTGGGTTGATTTTGAAGGCGTGTACAGGGGGGTCGTCTTATACGTGGGGTCGCCTTATACACAGCGATATACGGTAGGTAACCGACCAAGAAAATATTCAACTGTTTTTGAGTTACGCTCCGGAAATGAACACCACCCTTTATAGAACCTAAGTCCAACTTGTTGCCATGAAAACGTAAAAAATAAAGATTTCTAAAATTCCTAAATAGCAAAAGGCACAACTTCACCACTTGAGTGATATAAATGCAAAGTTTGATGAAGAAATATTTAGCGGTTTTGGAGTTCTGCTCCGGAAAAGATTCAGACAGACGGACGGATGGACCGACGGACGGACAGACATGCCCACAGCTATATCCCCCGCATTATATGCCGTGGGGAAAAAAATCTTGATAATCGATCAGATTGTCTTGACTTCGCACCGTCATTTTGTTTGAATCAAATGCAAGTAATGTAATAAGGTTTAATCTGATTGGTCAATAGGAGGGATATAGAAGGGACAGCAATCAAACCACGACATTGCAGCCTAGTTCAGCAAGGGTGGAAACTGGAGCTTTACAGTCAGTTTACTCCCTTGCCTCAGGAAGATGAGTTCTTAGGTGATGATACCCCGTTTGGGCTAGTTTGTTGGAGGGTTATCTATACATCGCCCAGACTGAAAGTAATTCCTTTTGTCATATATTTCCCTTGTAAAATTATACTGACAAATAGACTAGCACTCCAGACGGACTTACTCAGATCTGGAGCCGCCTGCCGTCAACATGGCAAAGGATTTCACCTTCTCTCTGACGACATCTATTCCACGCTCATCCGAAGCGTTCAGCTCCAACACACGACTACGGAATATTTCTGGCCTGGAAAATAACACGAAACATGTCATGCATTGGGGCAAGTCAGAAAGTGAAGGAATATTGTTTTATGCCAGTTTTAGCAATATCAACTCACTGGGTTGTCCTACTGCCCTTGCAAATCTGCGAGTGAGCGAGTTGGGTTTAACGCCACATTTTACAGTATTCCAGTTATATCACGGTGTGTCAGCTTAATGTGGGAGGAAAGCTCGAAGTGATGCAGGTCTCAGACGTTTACCACTTCGGTGAAACGGGAATGGTGCTGACAAACCTAGAAACATAATCAGGGCGAACCGGGATTCTAACCCACAATCATAGGTTTCTGGCGTGCCCAAGGGACGCAACTCTGCTCAGCGAATTGCGGCGTCTTAGACGACTGGGCCACCTGTGCCCCCTGCAAATCTGTGAGATGAGTTTACAACTTCTTCAACAGTATTTCAGTTATACTAGTGAGTAAGTATGCTTTTACACCATTCTTAGCAATTTTCCATCAATATCACGGCCGGGGGACACCAGAAATGGGCTTCACCATACCCTCGTGGGGGGATCGAACTCAGGTCTGCGGTGTGACGAGCTAACGCTTTAACCACTAGGCTCCCCCACCGCCTCTGCCAGTTATATCACCGTGTCAGCTTTAAGTGGGGAGAAGTGCTGCAGGTCCTAGACATTTGTAATGTTTGCTTTTGATGAAAATCAAGATTCTAGGAGACACACAAATGTGTGGCCAGTACACACAAATGAAAAGAATGGACGCAAAAAACGAATCAATCTCATTAAAATCAGATCTTAGTTTTCGCTACCGTTAAACAAAGATCTGAGGACATCCCATTACGGGTCACATCAGAAAGACCTTTTGCGAACTTTGACCGACCAATGAAATGACTGACAAGAAATCGACATTAGCCAATCAGAAGGCAGCTTTCTCGAGCTTTACGATGCTAGTTTCAAAACTGGCGACTATGCTTCGAAACATATTTTGACGTATTCTCGATTAAAGAAATTAAAACTGTTAAAAAGAACATTCTGGAATGGCTTACAGATGGCCTAGATTGTATGGATATAATCATAAAACCCGTAACTGTCGTTCGGAATACCCTCTGTAAAATATTTCGAGGTTGCATGATCAGAAAACACATTCCGTCTGTCACTTTCATGATCTGGTAAGCAATGCTCTGATTGGTTGGATGAAAGGTCGTTTTGACGTGACCCGTAATGGGATGTCCTCCGATCTTTGTTCAGCGATAGCGAGAACTAAGATCTGATTTTAATGAGATTGAAAACAAATATACTGCACCCCTTGAGGACCACAATGATGTTCATTGTACCAACAGCACATCAAGTAATGGATGTCTGTTATTTCCCCCATCAGTCGTGACCTCTGTCCACATGATAATTGATTCATTCCAGGCTCTAAAGTAATTATCAACACGTACAGTACACTACACCTTTTCGTTCCTTTACAAGACCCTCATATTGCCTTCAAGGACTTTTAAAATTTATTATTTGGGGTCGTCTGGACCCCAAATTTTGTAAGACAAGGTAAAACCGTGACTAGTGTTCCTGGAACACCGGGAACTCACCCAAACAGGTCCCTGGCGGCTGCCAGGATCGTGGAGGTTTTCCCCGTGCCGGGCGGGCCGTAGAACAACAGGTTGGGCAGCTGCAACACAATGTACCTGTATTACCCATGCAGCTTTCAACACTGACTTAATGAATTTGTCAGTCTAAATGCAGCGAATGAGTGAGTGAGTGAGTTAGCCAGTTTTAATACAGATTTTGAGTGAGTGAGTTAGTCTGTTTTAATACATCTTGGAAAAGTATTTGAGCGGGTGAGATAATACTTTTTGGGGGCACAGTACCTAATACCCTTGCCTCGGGAAGATGGGTTCTACGCCGCTTTTAGCAATATCACGGCAAGGGACACCAGAAATGGGCTTCACATATTGTGCCCATGTGGGGAATCGAACCCGGGTCTTCAGTGTGACATGCAAACACTTTAACCACAAGGCTACCCCAACATAAGCTGAGACATCTAAAATTTCAATTTGGGAATATTACCTGGAGCCTTAGGGCTGAATATCTGCGTCTGGGCAGGACTGAGTTTTTTCTTATTCTTATTAGGCCAGAGTTTTTGTTTTCTTTATTTTTTACTGATTTCTGGCCTAAAAATGCAGGTTGGTAGTTAAAAAAAAATAAAGAGAAAAGAAATACAATTTCCAATGTTGTTGTTTTTTATTTCCTTAAAATGTTAAAAGGGTAGGGAAAAAATAATTAAAAAGAAAAAGTAGGGTGCAGATGTTTTTAAGATCAACTTTCAACAGTTTTTATCATAGCATTTCTACTAATTTATAGCAACAGTAAATGAGTTTGCTTTTCAAAGAATTCACTTATTTCTGGTTGGCGGAATAAAAAAAACACCCATTGCTTTTTATGGATTTTTAAAATAAGTTTTTACATTTCAATTCTTGGGAGGTGGCACATTTGTAAACTGAGTTTAAAACCAACATTTTCTTTCTACTTACATCAGCCCCCTCCAGGGACTTGTTCAACACAGCAACAACTTCATCTTGATGTGCAACATCCTTTATACATCGGGGGCGACTGCAAGCAGATGACATCGGTCAACTCGGAACAACAGACTTATGCATCTATTTTCACTTAAAATCACACACCACAGACCCTTGTGTCATTGTTAAATATTTCTACACACTATCCTATATATCTGCTCAGTGTAGCACCGGTCAACTTGTATCGCTGTTTGTACAGTAAATTGGAACAAACATGCACATACACGAGATATCTATCTTGTCTAGGGCGATTATTGCTTCAAATCCATGATTCCTTCAGTGCAATTTCAAAAGCTCATGTTTACAGACAGCTTGGGTTGCATACTCCCGAGGGAGCTGAGAATGAAATTCAAGCGTACCCTGATCCATTGACGGAGTAATAATAGTGTGGCACATTGAGCATGCCAGTCGTGTGGATGTAGCGCAACATAAATAGGCCTATTATGATTTATTATTATTATTATTAATATTGACCAATTCCTTTAGCTATATTCCAAAGGCTCTTACTATTTTTCGACCCATGGTATGAGTTTGGTCTTCGCTTCCTTGTCTTGTTTCGAGCCTGAAGCCGGTTTGTCTTTGGTTTTTGACAGGCCAGAAGTCCCTCCTTTCAAAAATGCCTGCATTTTTCGTTATTGCTGTTCGTCGGTTCTTGGAGTCTGGAATGCACATGGGTGAGAGATTGGTTTAATCCCTCTTTGCACAGTATTAAGTTATATGAGGAATAGTTAAATAATTCCCTTGTTATACTTATGACAAGACCAGTGAGTTACCACACCTTGCTCTATCAATGGCCAAACCCTTTAATATTTAGTTTGGTTTGTTGTTTAAAGCCGCACTCAGCAATATTCCAGCTATATGACGGCAGTCTGTAAATAATCAAGTCTGGACCAGACAATCAAGTGATTGACATCATGAGCATCGATCCACGCAATTGGGATACGATGACAAAAGAGGGTAAATCCAGGAGGTACATTGGATGAATCGGTGCATCGTTATTTTTTTACTTCTTCATCACAGTACCACACAAAGTACGAAATACTGATTCTTACCTTAGACGTTTGCTTATTAACTGTTACACCAAACATGATTTAGTAGTAAAAATTAGTTGGGAAAATGTAAATATTTTCATCCACTGCACCATACTTGACACTGCCAACTGTAAATCGTCAGTGTGCCAGGTATTTGGCCATCTTGTCTAAATGGAAAAGACGTGCACATTCAAGTATCGTGATATGTATCGGATCATGAACAATGTATCGTGATACATATCAGATTGCACAGTTGCTGTATCGCCCAGCCCTAATACCAGTGAGACTTCACCACATTCAGCGTTAGAAATTGGCACTAGTCCTGTAGTCCTTGCCAAACTGCCCAATAGTTAAGGTATCATAAGGACCAGTAGAAATTTGCCATTTATATGGGTTTTGCTATATGTTATCATTATAAGAACTAGTGGACTAAAACTGTTAGTATCTAACACTGACATTGGAAGGCAGGTCACGAAATGGGGTCACTGGTCAGAGTTAAATTTTAGCAGATTGTATGGTAATTGTTTAGCACTTCCAGATCTTCAATCATCTGACTGATTATTTGATCAATTAACCCAGCTCTACCAATGTGTATGATTGTCTATGATAATGATAATCTCATGATCAGCTCCGCTGAGAAATTATTCCGGGCAGGAAATGTATTCTACATTAAGGGAAAAGTGATGGGTAAAATTGGTTTATGAGGGACACATTTACTAGAGACAGAGTATTTCCTGAGGCATGAACACTATCACATCTACACATCGGGCGGTCAGGCTTGCTGACTTGATTGATGCATGTCATCATATCCCTATTGCCTAGATCGATGCTCATGATATCAACCACTGGATTGTCTGGTCCAGACTCGAATATTTACCGACAGCCGTCATATAGCTGGAATATTGCTGAGTGCAGCATTAAACTAATAACTAATTGAAAGGATTGAGCAGCAATGCATACAACAGTGTACAAGTACACTTTTGGAGGCGGGGAGAGGGAGCTGGGAGGGTAAATCGGGTACCCTGGTCGGGTGGGTTCAAGTAGGACCCGGGTACCCACAGAACTACCTGGACCCGTGGTTAGTCACGTGATATATATTGTTTAATGACAAAAATTATTTAAAACTCTGGTTACAATATCAGAGACTAATGTTCCCAGTTCTTTCTGACAATGCACCCATTCCTTCTTACTTATATGTTTGAATAAAGATAAAACCTCATGCATTAAACTTCAGTGTATGCATGACCAGATCGTTTTACACGTGTATCTGAATACATTTTGCCATGGCTACGGTCAAACGTTTCCAATTCCGACAGTTTGTACCTATCTCTAAATATCTACAGCGGTATCCGGGTAGGGTCGTGTAATAGGGTGGTGGGTACCCGGGTAGTAAATTTGGACCCGTCCCAGCCCTAATACGGGCGAAAGTCTTTCCGATCTATAAACAAGGTGACGTGTCTAAGAGTGTATTACATATAAGTCCTTATTACTAGAACCCGTTGTCGCTCTTAAGTTGTTATCAGTTAGGCGTTTTAGATCTACAGAACTTAAACTGTTGAAGATTTCGGGGGAACTCCGGACTCTAGCCTAGGCTATTTATACGCCGAACGGAGAGTGAGATTGACGAAGTGGGATTAGCCAAAGAAATGCCATTATATTCAATGATATTACCGAAGGTAAATATTTGGGATGTAAATATAGTACCTCAAAAGAGCATGTCCTTCGGGTGTTGTGTTGTGTTTTTAATCACTTTCCACAGCGGCCATTTCCCGCCGTATTCCTTGAATCAACTCACAACACTGCTTGTATCCTGTTCCTCACACCGCCGTTAGGTGGCGCAACTGCTTCACGAACACCAACAACCGTTACCACTAAACTGGTTCCATTATTGTTACGCGCCGCAAACTGAGCCTTTTTAGCCGATCAATTTAGGAAGACAGGAGCCCCGTCCACGTCCCCGCTCGTCCCCGAACTTCTTTCCATTCCCTCTGTTTTGTTGATGTTGTCACATGATGAAAAATACACAACGTACAGCGATTTGTGTTGTCTCATCATTCACACGAATAAAAACTGATTTGTCGTAGATATGGCGGAGTTTCTCTAAAACGAGTGAGTGAGTATGTTTTTACGCCGCTTTTAGCAATATTCCAGCAACATCACGACGGGGGACACCATAAAGGGGCTTCACACATTGTACCCATGTCAGGAATCGAACCCGGGTCTTCGGCGCGACGAGCGAACGCTTTAACCACTAGGCTACCCAACCTCCCCCTATGTGACAACTTTAAACAGGAATTCTACAGCCAACATCAGCCAACATCAGCCAACATCAAACTGGTGCCATGTGGGGACTATCATATTGTTTAGGTCCCGAAAAGATTTGAAGATTCCGGGGTCTTCAGCAACCCATGCTTGTCGTAAGAGGCGACTATCGGGGTCGCGGGTGGTCAGGCTGGCTGACTTGGTTTATGCATGTCATCGTATCCCGATTGCGTAGGTTGCTGCTCATGATGTCAATCACTGGATTGTCTGGTCCAGACTCGATTATTTACAGACCGCCGTCATATAGCGGGAATATTGCTGAGTGCGGCCTTAAACAACAAACAAATAACAACAAACATATTTTTTTGTTTATGTATTTTTTGTGCATTTCATAGAAAACGTTGGGACAGATCGATGGCTTAAGTGGGGTGGGGTTTGTTTCGGAGTCGAACTCATATTCTCTATTTCTTCATTGAAAATTTGCACACATATCAACAAGGTGTATTTCCCTTAGTTTCCGTGTGTTTCCATGGATACATCGGACTTCGGCGCATAAGAGGAGGGTCGTTTGTTTCCGCAGTAGAGCTCTGGCGTGTAGAATTTTCCTCGTGAAACTTGGCCCAAAAAAGGCTACCAGATGGAATGTACTGAATTCATTCCGATATTCCTATCTTTGAACCAATTAAACAGGCATTACAGTGTTAATTATAAAAAAAATTATAAGTCACATAGTTTTGGCAGCAACAAGACTCCTGGCTGAGATATTTGCAAACTTACTGTGTATTTGCAGAGACCATATATACTTTATATAGGTATATGGTCTCAGTATTTGGTACATTATATAAAGTTAAAACTTGGAGACCCCGTTCGCTTGACTGTTAAAGATCAATCAATCAATCAATCAATCAATCAATCAATCAATCAATCAAGTTTATTTCGTTATTCAGGCCCATAATACAGTTGTAAGATAAATTGTTTTTTAGGTCACATACCGAGAGTGTTACATTTCTGTCGATCTCATTCAATTTACATAAATATAAAGCTATCAAGCGTAGTACATTAATATCACAGGAGTTAAATAAATTTGTAAACGCAATATTACCTGAATAATATTTCTGTAATGAGGTACAAAAAGTATTTATCAAGTGAATATATTTCTTTAATACAAACAAGACATGGTATCTATCCTCTACTAAATGTAAATCACATTCTTTACATATGGATTCTGTATGAGGTATATTTAACCATGACCTTTTACGAATAACGTTGACTCGAAAGTTGAGAAGAGATATTCGAAATTTACACATTGCTCTAACTAATCGTTGGTCTCTGAGTACTGTTTTATATAATTCGGGTTGCAGAAGATATTTTATCTTTGCATAATGCACTAAAAAGTAGGGGACTCCAAACTGTGGTACCATGATTGGAAATATATATCTCTTTAGCATCTTCTAAATGCAGATAAAACATGTTCTTATCACCAACATCTTGGAATAACCACACATACGCAAAACCGCTATTAAAATAACATTTGCCTCACATACGATGCCTATTTGACGTTTCCATTCTCATCTAATACTTTAAGCTAACATAACTTTGGAAGGGATATCGACTTGCAGTCATTCGCGAATGCTTAATCGAGTACTTAATTACCCATATTTGCGTATTTATAAACATACAATGACGTCCGGTTTCACCCAGAATAGCAAAGTTTGCTGCAAATTTACCCACACCAAGAAAACGTTTAAAATAGCATGTTTGTATGTTTTCAGAGTCTTAATTTATCTTTATTGACGTGTGAGGGTTTAGTTTGGTGTGTATGCACACAGAGGTTGGGCCGACCATTGGATCATAAATTATGTTTTAAATTATCTGCTTCCGAAAAAAATGCACCGCAATATAATTACCATCACGAGAAAGTGACGAAATTTTCAAACCTTAAACGGAATATATTTACCTAAGTATTATTTCACTGTCTTACATTTATATGCCATTTGTTTAATACATTGTACATCAGAGGTGAGGACATATAATTGGGGACATTTCAGTCAAATTTCACGGTTGAAGGATGTTCCAGTCACTCAAAGTTTAATTTACCGCACCAAGTTGAAAGGATCTGTGGCTATGGGTCCGAAACACAACCTTATTTAGTGTCCTTGCGCGCACTACTTTCTGGCATTTTATTTGTACTGCATAAAACGTATCCTAGTACCTATTGAAAAAATAAATATCATTTGGATATCTATCGGATATCATCCAGAGCCAATTTCTATTTTCACTTGAAGTTGATGAAACATAATGTGGCGCAAGAATAATGCGCGTGTTTCAGAGTAATTCGGTACTTTTGAGCAGTAATTTGAGATAAGGAGGAGCGCCACCTGACGGTCTCTCGCTGTGTGTCGCTGTATTGAGCTAGAAACAGTATTAACTGGTCGCAACTCTTTCCGCGCGGCGTCAGCTTGCGCAATTATTTTGTTTAGAGACGGAATCCAAATATAAAGGAAAATACGGAAGTTATATCTGCGCAGACACGGAAGTTGATCGTGTTTTTTTTCATTATCATCTTCAAAGAAGAGTGTGCGAAACACGATGCAAAGTGTCGATAAAGCACACGAAACACGCGAGGTAGATTTGTCTGCAGCCCCAAGAGGTGTATGGCTTGTAAAGGCAAGTGAACTAAAATGTCAGTGTTGAAAGTAAAGTTTCTCTCAAATAAAATATTGTGTGAACTGTGAGGTTAATCATTTTGCGGCTCTTGCACTGGTCCAATATGACTGTAACACTAAACATAGGAGTCACTGTATATTTTATATAGGATACAGCCGAAAATAAGAAACTTGCTAAGTATCTTACCTACTGCACTTAACCGTGCGCAGCTTATATTAGCGTTTAGTATTGGCTGTGGCTTCACGGATTTCGCGTACCGCTTCAATCATAAGGGCTTGTTGTGTCACTCAGAGACCATATGCCCGTATCTGAAATTGTGTCAGGCTCAAGGTAGGAAACTGATTACAACTAACTCTATTGGTAGCCTGTGAAGTACAGTACTCCCGATCCAAGTGCAGAATGCTGTTGTGAAAGCCTAGTGATAGGGAAAAGGTGCTTACCTTACAGCGTAAGCTTGATGAAGGGGAGATCGAGAACGTAAGCTTCAGTGGGTTTCGTCTGTTCAGTCGGCTGTCTTGTCTCAATCTGTCGATTGTCACCTGTCACATTTGGCAGGTAAGTTGATCACGTGCCTCGATCACACCCGGAAACATACGAGTAACATCGGGTGGCCAATCCGATGTAACCCAATGTACGAGCGTGGAAGCACCAATCACTACATTGGGTTACATCGGATTCCTTTTCCCTATCACTAGGCTTTCACAACAATACAATATATACTCGGACCCCATGGTACCGCGGCATTCATCGTATCGCGGCATTTGTGATTTCCGATAGTTCACGCGGGACACGCCTCATAGCGACTGTCTATTAATGCAAATCAGTAACCAGGAAGTGCTCACTTCGTAAACAATTTCAATTTCCTCGGAATGTTCCGTCTGCTGTAAGTAAGGAGTTATTAATCCGTTGATACATATACTTCTGGCATCTGTTGTAATATTGCCTTACCCCCATCTATCAATGGCCAACGATATAACCCGCAGTTCCCCAAGTAAACTTTCTCTATCGACCTGAACTAGATCATCTGCATATTCATGGCGACTAATGAGGTAACGGAAGTTATGTAGTCCGCACATTTTTTCCCGCTCTGTGCCCAGAATCTATTAGGAGATCATAAGGGCCATAATGCCAAACTTAGAAATACGTTCTTCACTAGTAACCAAAAGATAAATACATACCTTAGGCATACTAGGAGTGCTTTTTATATATTCATTGTTGACTTTTAACATTTTTCCATTTTGTGACAAATTATTGTCATCCAATTCTATTTAAACAATCTTAAAATATCATTACTGATATTTTGATGTTGACCTATAAAAATATTTTTCTCTTGCTTTTCGGTAAATATGCATTGAATACCTATTGCTGATAACACATTTAGAATTTTACTTGTGCTGTCTTTGCACTTGTCTGGACAAATCACTGATGTCTGGCATGATCATACCAAGTGGTTGGTAGAATTATGTCCCCTTTTTGTCCAATTCGGACCTCCATACACAACTTTTCTCTGTACCGCGATACAATGGAGTTATCTCCCTTGTCAAACAGAGCGCGAGGCCCGGCTTTTACTCGGAGCTACTGATAATGAACTTTTATCAGTAAAATATGCATTGTTTGATAACATGAATGATATCTGATACAGAGAACACGAATACTCATAAAGGTTAGTGAGTGCATTTAGTTCCGTTTAGCGTACATGACAAGTACCGCGATACCCCGAGGTTGCAGGCTACCCTGCAACATGTACAACATGTACAATATAACCTCTGGCAGAGAATATATATTAATTGTCTACAAATTGGAAAATTTGGAAGAATGATTTTGGATGATAAATAAAATCTCACACTTGTTGATAAAAGTGGGAAAAATCCTCGGCAAGCCTCGAAATTTTTCCACTTTTATCAACTCGTGTTGATATATTTGATATCAAAAGACACTTGGGTGAGATTCTCTATATAACCTACAGTCTACACCAGTGGTCGATAATTCATTGTAACTTACAATCTACATCTGTGGTAGAATTCATTATGCCATAACCCGTGAAGTTCCAGGGTAGAATAGGTCTTCAGCAACATTTGCTGCAATAGGTGACTATGCTTGTCGTAAGAGGTGACTAACGGGATCAGACTCTCTGACTTGTTTGAAGCATTTCATCGTATCCTGATTGTGTAGATTGATGCTCATAATCACAGGATTAATTATTTACAGACCACCGTCATATTGCTTGAATATTGCTTGAATATTGCTGAGTTTGGCGTTAAACAAGAAACACACAAACATTCTCTCAACCTGACTTACGTTTCACATTCAATACACTTGACGTCTCAGCACCAGCAACGGATGGTATTGCAACCATATTCCGCAAAGTGGATGAAGTAGAAAAACATTGCCTGGATTTTCGACTTTTACAGATTTTGTCAAGCTAAATGTTGTACTACAAAGGATAATATATTAAGAACCATACAGTTAGTCATTCTAATAATGATTACGGGGGATTATTAATTTTAGACCCAAATTATCATAGATATTCCTACTTGCCTCCAGGGGCACAGGTGGCCCAGTTGTCTAGGCGCTGCAGTTCGCTGTGCAGAGTTGCATCCCTTGGGCACGCCAGTAACCTATGATGGTGGGTTTTTATCCCGGTTCGCCCCCATTATGTTGATAGTTTTGTCAGCAACATATCTGTGCTCGTGAGTTTTACCGAAGGGGTAACGTCTAAGACCTGTATCACTAAGACACAACTCACTCACTCACCTAATTGCCTTCATTTGGGGTTGGCATCACCTACCCAACACGACTAACGCAAAGGATCACATACATGTGAGATCAGCGAAACTTCAGTCACATCCAGCGACAGTTACTGCTAAAAAGCACAACACAAACTAGTGCTACAAACCCAGCTCACTACATTTTATAGCATGTGTGTGATCATCTTCCCGAGGCAAGTGAGTTAACTGACTATAAAAGTCCAGTTTCCACCCTTGCCGAACTAGGCTGGTATTATGGCTGGTATAACGAGTCTATGAATAGTCCAATCAAAATCGCACTCCGAAATCGAAATCCGGTTCGTAAAGTGTCATGCAGATTTCGGTTGAGTGCAGGATTTGCAAAGCATGTGCACCGTTAACTCGTTGTCAACAGATATTTTCTAAATCTTTTCATGCTTTTAATCAAGGTGATCACGTGATTTGATGCACCTCGCGATGTAAGACTCGTTTTATCACAATATAGATCTTGATTATCAATCAGATCATCTTGACTGGGCGCCACCGTTTTGTTTGAAGCAAATGCAAGTGATACGAGAGGTTGAATCTGATAGGTCAATAGGAGAGGCATAGAAAAGACATAACTTGTAATAGCCACTGGTGGCACTACGATCGACCCCAGGAATTCCAGCCTAGTTCGAAAAGGGTGGAAACTGGACTTTTAAAGTCAGTTAACTCTCTTGCCTCGGGAAGATGGTGTCTGATATATTTCACTCTAGTTTGTGTTACAGAGTATTGAAAAATCTCATTCCGGTTTTGAGTGTTTTACTATTTATCCCCTGCCGCGCGAAAGCGCGAAGCGGGGGATATAGTATTCACGACCGTCCGTACGTCCGTCCGTACGTCCGTACGTCCGTCTGTACGTCCCACCTGTTTGTTGCCGCGATATCTCAAGAACTAAACACTGGATTGTCTTCATATTTGGAACTATGGTGTATATACAGACTCCACAGACACCAGTCGGTTTTGGTGACCTTGATCCCATTTTCAAGGTCACAGCAGACAAATCTGCTTTTAGAGTTGGAAAACGGTGTTGCCGCGATATCTCAAGAACTAAACACTGGATTGTCTTCATATTTGGAACTATGGTGTATATACAGACTTCGCAGACACCAGTCGGTTTTGGTGACCTTGACCCCATTTTCAAGGTCACAGCAGGCAAATCTGCTTTTGGAGTTGGAAAACGGTGTTGCCGCGATATCTCAAGAACTAAACACTGGATTGTCTTCATATTTGGAACTATAGTGTATATTCAGACACGGCAGACACCAGTCGGTTTTGGTGACCTTGATCCCATTTTCAAGGTCACAGCAGGCAAATCTGCTTTTAGAGTTGGAAAATGGTGTTGCCGCGATATCTCAAGAACTAAACCTCTCGATTGTCTTCATATTTGGAACTATGGTGTATATACAGACACCGCAGACACCAGTCGGTTTTGGTGACCTTGACCCCATTTTCAAGGTCACAGCAGGCAAATCTACTTTTGGAGTTAGAAAACGGTGTTGCCGCGATATCTCAAGAACTAATCGCTGGATTGTCTTCATATTTGGAACTATAGTGTATATACAGACACCGCATACACCTGTCAGATTTGGTGACCTTGACCCCATTTTCAAGGTCACAGCAGGCAAATCTGTTTTTGGAGTTGGAAAACGGTGTTGCCACAATATCTCAAGAACTAATCGCTGGATTGTCTTCATATTTGGTACTATGGTGTATATGGCGGGGGATATTTCGTCACTCTGTGACAAATACTTGTTTGTATTTGAGGGCAGACTTGTGAAACAATATTGATTATGTCACTTTATACTTTACACATTCTAGTGATTAACTTTACGAACTACTTGGCGTGAGATTACATTGCATGGAGGCTGTCAGTGTTGTTCCACTTACTGATTATTAATTATGTGAATATAGATATTGTGTGTTATGTTCAAAATTGATTTCTTCAGGTTCCTAAGTATCTGTCGGAAAGATGGCAGAAGGCGCAAGGAGGCAGTGAGGTGGGCAAGCTGCGGATCACACGACCAAAGTGAGTGGTGAACTTCATTTGTTTGTTTGTTTGTTGGTTGTTGAACTTCATACTTGTAGTTGTACGATATGTTGGTGACCTTTTGTGGTATTGTCAGTGAAGTCTTTGAATTTAGTAACTCAGAAATTTGTGGTTCCATCATAATTGAGTAATTGATCATAATTAGATCTGGACAGTCAGAACGATTATCTCCCCTGTCATCATGATTATTTCCCGTCATATTGATTATCTCTCCTGTCATCATGATTATCTCCCGTCATATTGATTATCTCTCCTGTCATATTGATTATCTCCCCTGTCATATTGATTATCTCCCCTGTCATCATGATTATCTCTGTTCTGTTGCGATAATTACCCAGGACCCATTTGCTACGATAGCTTCGGTTTAGGCTGAATTTGAATAGCACACCGTTAGAATTAATTAGATCTAGTCATCTAATCAAATTATTCTTAAGAAACCAGTGCTGTGTTAGATAGAAAAGCAGGGATTTGTCTAGCCTTGTTCAAAGGCCAATATTCATCTGCATCAAATTAGATTAGAATTAAACTTCTCCCAAGTCCTGCTGTTATGGTTAAAACTAATGTTATGGCTTTGTAGAAGTGGCTTTTCTTTTACTGACAAACAAGACCAATATAGATGAATATATAATATGAAGTTTAAGATCATTGCATTGAATACAATATTAGGGGTAGTCGGGTAGCCTAGTGGTTAAAGCGTTCGCTTGTCGCGCCAAAGACCTGGGTTCGATTCCTGACATGGGTACAATGTGTGAAGCCCATTTCTGGTGTCCCCCGCCGGGATATTGCTGGAATATTGCTAAAAGCGGCATAAAACCATTCTCACTCACTGAATACAATATTAAGATTCTTTGTGAAAATACTTGAAATTTAGGATAATAAGAACTTTAAAAATATCCCAGTTTGCTTGCCAGTGGCACTGAGTTTGGAATCCGAGACAAATCCCTGAAGGGTGATGGGGATGCTGCCGTCACTTCCTAAACGAAACTGTGGCGGCGAATATGCTAAGACTAGAGATATTATACCCTGGATTATTGAGAATGGATTCTGTAAAATTATTACAACCAGGGAACAGAAACAAGCAAAGTTTGAGATACCATTGCATGATGAAATACATTTATTGGTTGAGGTGAAACGATACATTGATGCACTGTGAGTTTTCATGTGATGATACAATACATGATACATTCTTTTCTGTATCGATACAAGACGATACACTTGCGAAAATAAATTATTTGTTACTCATTAATTATTCCCGGTATTTTTGTCCGTTAAATGTCACAAAATGTGTTGTATTTAGCGTTTCAAGGTCACTATTGCTGCTTCGAACATGTGTCTGCAGCTAGCTTTTCCTTTCGAACCTGCTCTGAAATATTTATAGGCAAGAAGTTTCCACGTGATTTGATGTAAATATGCATACTGCGATTCATGTTGTATCAACTAGGGGTGTCATGATAAATCAAAATATCGATATATAATATTGCTATTGGTAAGCACTTAAAGTCAATAAATCAATTGTTAAATCAATTTCCGATCAATAGTATTGATTTCAGTTAGGAACATCGATAGTTTCGATTGTACATGCAGTGCTGTTTGTTTTTCTTTTGATCATGAGTGGTAGTAATTAACACATGGTAATGTGGAAGTTTCTTTTTCTTAAATTATTAGGGTAAAGAAAAAACCAAATCAGTCACATCTCAAACTTTACTTTTTATTTGTTGTTATGGTTATCACATTCAAAGGAAACTTCAGTTCCAAGGTTTAATTCAGCTCTAAAATTCATCTAAAATAATACACTGAAAACTATCAATATTTATTGCAATAGTTGCTTGCAATATCAATAGTTATCGCAATAGTGATTTCCAGACCAATAGTCACCCCTAGTATCGACCTATGTATCATAACAAATATCATATAGTGACCTTGCTGGATCATTTCACACCTATGTATTGGCAGATGTACTAAGCTAAATTTGAACAAGATCATAAAAAAATGATACAAAATGTGAGTGAGTGAGTATGTTTTTACACTGCTTTTAGAAATATTCCAGCAATATCATGGCGGGGGACACCAGAAATGGGCTTCACACATTGTACCCATGGTAACCATGTTGGGAATTGAACCCGGGTCATAAAAAATGTAAAGAATCTATTGTTCTCCTGTTAATCCAATCCTGGACTGAGCACTGGCTTGTCTATTCCAAACACTTGTATTGTGATGTTACAGAAGTCCTGGCCTAAAGCCTGATGTCATGTTCTCCTCCCACGAAACAATGATGAAAGTCGAACCTGGACAAGCACAGGCGCCACGAGACCATAAGTTTGTTCTCACTGGCGTCGGTGTTCAGAATCTGGTGGTCATGTCACAGACACCCATATTTGCTAAAGGTGGGTTTACAGCTTCACAAACTCAAATATAGACATGTTTGGGTACAGTAGGCTCTGTCCTCCCTTTACTGTGCCAGGATCTGCTGATTGTGAATATAACTGACACGAGACTGAAGACCTCCACCCCCAAGATCCCCCATCGTATGTCAGGTACATCACCTCTTTTGTGGGTTACACCAAAGTAGTAAACGTCTTTGGTCTGTGTCGAAGATTTCCTGCAATCTCATTAAAATCAGATCTTAGTTCTCGCTACCGCTAAACAAAGATCTGAGGACATCCCATTACGGGTCACGTCAGCCCGACCTTGCGCAAACTTTGACTGACGAACGGAATGATCAATCAGAAGGCAGCTTTCTCGTGCTTTACGGCACTAATTTCAAATTGGCGACTACGCTTCGCAACATATTTTGACAAATTCTCGATTACAAATTTGAAACCTGAGCAAAAAAACATCCCGGAATGGCTAATAGATGGTCTAGATTGTATGGATTCAGTCGTTAAACCCGCAACTATTGTTCGGAATACCCCATGTTAAAGTTTTCAAGGTTGTATGATTAGAAATCACATTCTGACTGTCACTATCATCATCTGGTAAGCGACGCTCTGTTTAGTCGGATGAAAGGTCGTTCTGAAGTGACCCCTAATGGGATGTCTTCAGATCTTAGTTTAGCGGTAGCGAGAATTAAGGTCTGATTTTAGTGAGATTGAGTGTTTCTGCTGGCTTTTGAAACTGCCTGTACTGATGGACTAGCAACTCTAAAAATGACCAGTCCTCCCTAATTTGACGTCATCTCTGAAGTAACTTCGTTAGATCTACACATCATTCACACAAAGTTCAGTCACAATTTTCTTGTTTCTTTTTAAAAATATTTTGAGACAAGTCGCTACAAATATATTTAACCTCAAAGCAAAGTGAAATGTTATTTCCTTGCGCTAAAAATAGACAAGGGAAACCCTGATGGTAACAGACAAGCTGCCTTCGTTCGAAAAATCTACTTATATGAATATCGCCGATGTTTCATTCAACAACAAAGATTTATCAGGTACTTTATTTGCTGGTCCACAGGGACTGACAGTCACATGAATTACCGATCCAAGCCTAATTTTACCGGTAAAAATGTGGTAAATATTGTTAAAGAGAACACTGGTGTCACTTTGGGGGTGGTGAGGTGAGGTGAAATGGGGTTTAACGTCGCGTCCAAGATTATTGCACTTATGTAGCAACGTGCATGTAAGTGTGTGTGTTTGTGTGGCTGCTTGTACTAGTCCGGACTGATGCCGATTTATAGTGCTAGCCCACTGAGATACCATGCCGCAGTTTAACATGAATACCCCACTCAGACACAGTATACTGACTCCGAGCCGACCAGTCCTTGCTTTAGCCCCTTAATGCCGAGCGCCAGACAGGGTAACAACAAGTACCATCTTTTAATGTCTTTTGGTATGACGCGGTCGGGGATCGAACCCCGGACCATCCGCTCTCCGGGCGAACGCTCTACCACTAGACCACGGAGGTCGTCGGTGGCACTTTCGGCTTTTTGCTATCACACTTAGTGTCAGTGACATGCAATGAAATGAATATTTCTCAAGTTGTGAGTTTATATCTTAGCAGCGTAATACCTTGACACTGTGGTGAGTATTTGTGAGTTTTGCTTACTGTTAGTAGCTTAGTCGACAGGTATTTTAGCCATTTTCTTGTTGCCATGGCTACATGGCCAAAATGTTGCCAATGTGATGAAAATATGAAGTCACCTACTTCATCACTTTATGTTGACTTGTTTCAGATGGAAATGGTGCAACAAAGGAAAAGGTTGCAGGTATGTGTCTTTACAAGGAAACAAGCTTACCTCTTGTTTTGTGTTTGTCCTACATTTACCTGACAGTAAACTATGTTAATAACGAACACACTTATAAGTTATAACAAACTGACGGATATAATGAATTGTGTTTTTGCTGTATAGTTTATCATGTAAAATTGATGGATATAATGAACACGTTTATAACGAAACAACGGATATAGCGTTCTTACTTTGTTCGTTTCCGGAGCGTAACTCAAAAACCGTTTAATAATTTCTTACAAAACTTTGCATGTCTACCAGGCACATACTGAACTGGTGCCTTTTGATATATAGCACTTTTATAAAGTTTTATTGTTTATGTTTCCATGACAACAAGTTGGATTTAAGTTTTAATATAGGATTGGTTTACTTAAGGAGTATAACAAATAAACTGTTAAATATTTCCTTGCCAAACACTGCATGTCTATATGTAAAGCACATACTGAACTTGTGCCATTTGATATTAAGGAGTTTTAGAAATGTTTATTTTAGAATTTCCATTGCAGCTATTTTGACATGGGCTAAGAGAAATGTTGGGTCAGTTACCTGGTTTGGGACCATAATGTGTTAAAATGGGCGGGGGATATAGATGACTTTGTCAACTATACGCTTGTATTTATAAGGAACTGTTAATGTCTGAGTTGCTCACTTGGGTCTCAGGCAGTGACTTTTGAAAATATAGTGTGGGCGGTGTTTTTTTGTTTTTTTGTTTGTTCAAACAAGTATGAAACAAACAGTTGTGTACCATTAACCTGGGAAAGGTCCTCCTTACATAAGGGAGCATACAAACTCCTATTGCCACCATGACCATAACACGAGATGCTCAGTAAAGCAGTGCGCATGTAAAGGGAAGTAACTGTGTGCAATATGAATCGCATTGTTTTTAAGTATTTAGATTTTTTGATTTTTAAAAAAATGCAAATAAAAATGAAACGTGTGGCAGACTTTATGATGATGCGGGTGTAAGGCACTTCAGTTTGCTGTGTAGAGTTGCTTCCCTTAGATGTACCAGGAAATCAGATGAAGATGGATTTTCTAATTGACCTCTCAGCACTATAAACTTGCTTATTGGTGTCATCAAAGTTTAAAATAAAATTTATCAATTTTTGAATGTCTATGTGTTTTCAGTAGGATGAAAACTACATTTTGTGTTGTTTTGTCTGTGAATAATGAGGAAACAAAGTCCCCACCCCACCGCCATATGTATGCCATGTTTAGTCTGAGGTGTCTGTTTCAGAGAGGGTGGCAGTAGAAGGCAAGGTGCTCCAGCGAGCAGAGTGTCGACCTATCGCTGATGACAACTACAACAAACTCAAGAGGTGAGTGAGTGATATCTTACAAACAGCACTGGCTGATTGTAAGATATCTGAGGAGGAGTTTCGTTTAGTGTTGTCAGAACTCACCAAATACAGCGAAATGAAGCAGGAGATTCGATCAAATTCTCGTAAGACCAGTGGTATTAGCGAAGACGAGAAAAAAAAGTTAATAGAACAGGGAAGACAACAAGCGTGTCAATTATTCCGTGCCAAAACCAAGGAACTGGTTGGAGATTAAAAATAGATTGTTTACTATCGTTGGATCACATTTAAACGAATGCTTACATTAGTAAAAATGTTGAAGGCTACAGTTAATTTTATCCATTATTAATTAATATTGATGATTCTTTTAATACAAATCATGGCGATCGTTGAATCATGTCATCATTTTGACATAAAAAATTCCCTCAGTAGTAGCAGTATAGGTATATAAATCTGGCTCTAGTGGATGTGGTCCCGAACTGTCATTGTCTATACTACTATCCTCACGAAACGAACGAATGATTGGACGGATGGACGAACGAACGAAAGAAAGAATAATTGGGCGATATGATATGCGTAATAGCCTGTGGCAGTGGTGTTATGTTGAGTCACCACTGCGCCGGAGCATGGGTTCATGCAATTCGTAAGTAGTACTGTCACGGGGAACTACTTTTTGCTGGCACCCATGTTCAGGGCATGTTCGGTGATGTTGAGTTCAGGGTGAAGAGATGGTCAGCCCCAAATTAAAATAAGAGCTTCTCATCTTAAGCTGGGTTAAAGCGTTCGCTCGTCACGCCGAAGACCCGGGTTCGATTCCCGACATGGGTACAATGTGTGAAGCCCATTTCTGGTGTCCCCCGCCGTGATATTGCTGGAATGTTGCTTAAAGCGGCGTAAAACCGTTATCACTCACTCACTCACTCATCTACAGCTGGACCTTCACTTTCAAAACACAGCTGGGTTATCTCCTACTTTTAGCTCATCCATCCATTACTGTTATGCAGACTCGTGAAGATCCGGGTTAGGTTTGGTCTTCGGCAACCAATGCTTGTATTTAGAGGCAACTAACAGATTGGTTGGTCAGACGCGCTGACTCAGTTGATGCATGTCATCGTGTCCCAACTGCATGTTTCGATGCTCATGATGTCAATCACTGGATTGTCTGGTCCAGATTCGATTATTTACAGACTGCCGTTGTACAGCTGGAATATTGCTGAGTGTGGCGTTAAACAACAAACCAACAACCAACCATCATATCCCAATTGCATGGGTTGATGTTCATGTTGTCAATCACTGGATTGCTGGTCCAGCCTCGATTATTTACAAACCGCTGTTGTTTGGCTGGAATATTGCTGAGTGTGGCGATAAGCAACAAACAAACAAATACAGCTATGCAGAAGTACACTTACATGTGTCGGCAATCGATGCTGATGATATCAATCACTGGATTGTTTGGTCCAGACTCGATTATTTACAGACCGCCGTCATATAGCTTGAATATTGCTGAGTGTGGCGTTAAACAACAAACCAACCAACTGTAGTAAAGCATTCTGTCTTGTTCCATGTGAAGACTTCACTGGGAGATCCAGAACAAACCCAAGAGGGAGGTGATCCAGCTTAGCGGAGTGGTCCAGTCCTACAAACCCCGGAGTGCCTACGCTTCCCTGGTAGGTCAATCTAGGTCTACATTGTGCTGTAGGGCTGGGATGAGTCCAAATTTACTACCTGGGTACCGACCCCCTATTACCCGACCCTACCCGGGTACCCGTGAATATTCCGGGGTAGAATAGGTCTTCAGCAACCCATGCTTGTCGTAAAAGGCGACTAACAGGATCGGGTGGTCAGGCTCGCTGACTTGGTTGATGCATGTCATCTATCCCAATTGCGTGGATCGATGCTCATGATAATAATCACTGGATTGTCTGGTCCAGACTCAATTATTTACAGACCACCGTCATATAGCTGGAATATTGCTGAGTGCGGCGTTAAACAACAAACAAACAAACAAACAAACAAACTATCAAACTAGGTGGATGGGTGACCGTGTTCGGCAGCTTGATTCCCGAGAGTTTCTGGGGCTCTGGTCCTCCCCCACACTGAAACACATGAAGCACATGTGGTGTCTCCTTAGGCAAGTGACTTTGTTTGAAATATGCAGCATTGCCTCTGTTCACCCAGCAGTGAAAGGGTACCTGGTAGGATGAGATGGTAGTGTGCCAGTAAATCTTCGAGTGCCTCATGCAGCAATTGGTTTGTATACTCTCCAGGGGGCTGAGAATGGAATTTGATGCACTCTGGGTAATAATAATGTAGTGACATGAGTGTTCACTAACGGAAGTCGACCCTTGAAGATCCGGGGTAGAATAGGTCTTCAGCAACCTATGCTTGACGTAAAAGGAGATTATGCTTGTCATAAGAAGCGACTAAAGGGATCGGGTGGTCAGGCTCGGTGACTTGGTTGATGCATGTCATCGTATCCCAATTGTGTGGATCGATGCTCATGATTTCAATCACTGGATTGTCTGGTACAGACTAGATTATTTACAGACCACCGTCATTTTGCTGAGTGTGGCGTTAAACAACAAACAAACAAACAAAACAAGCCACAGAATTTCACTTCTCCGAAGTAATGGATTCAGCTAAAGTTTTGTGTGGATGTTTGTTACTGTAAAGGGGTTCAAGTGTGTTCAAGTGTGTTCAAGGTATCAAAACTGGAATTTCAATATGGCTGCCGGGTAGCCATCTTTGATTTAATAAGAACAACCCAGACATTAAGTCTGTTAGGTGGTCACTGTATGTAGTTTGAGGTAGTTTGAGGCTTCTTTGTGTGCATGTTTGTGACGTACTGTCATGTTTCTACAGGATGGCGATAAACGTAAAAAGGAGGAGAGCAAGAGGTCAAGGTTAGATCGTGAGAAGGTGCAGGACATGCTCTTCAATGCATTCGAGAAACATCAGTACTACAACGTCAAGGACCTTGTCAAGATCACCAACCAACCAGTGGTAGGTCTCATCTGTGGATCACATCCCTTTGTTCATCTTTTGTGTCACAACCCTAAGATTGCATTTGTGGTCACATTTACTCACATCTGTTTGACATTGACTCACATCTGTTTCACTTTTACTCACATCTGTTTCACTTTTACTCACATCTGTTTCAATTTGACTCACATTGACTCACATCTGTTTCACTTTTACTCACATCTGTTTCACTTTGACTCACATCTGTTTCAATTTGACTCACATCTGTTTCAATTTGACTCACATTGACTCACATCTGTTTGACATTGACTTACATCTGTTTGACATTGACTTACATCTGTTTCACTTTTACTCACATCTGTTTCAATTTGACTCACATCTGTTTCAATTTGACTCACATTGACTCACATCTGTTTGACATTGACTCACATCTGTTTGACATTGACTTACATCTGTTTCACTTTTACTTACATCTGTTTCACTTTTACTTACATCTGTTTCACTTTTACTCACATCTGTTTCACTTTGACTCACATCTGTTTCACTTGGACTCACATCTGTTTCACTTGGACTCACATTGACTCACATCTGTTTGACATTGACTTACATCTGTTTGACATTGACTCACATCTGTTTCACTTTTACTTACATCTGTTTCACTTTTACTCACATCTGTTTCACTTTGACTCTCATCTGTTTCACATTGACTCACATTGACTCATTGTATCCCTTTGGCACGCCCTAGTTCGCCCTGATTTTGTTACTAGGTTTGTCAGCACGGCTGCACCATACCTTTGCTCTGAACCTGCATCACTTCGGGCTTTCCTCCCACATCAAGCTGTAACCCAACTCACTCACTGTTAGACCCAGTTACCTCCCTTTGTTCAACCTATTATTTTCGATTGACTTTCCCGTCAAGAGCTTGCAACATTTTTGAATGGGGAATAGATCTAAAGAATTCCACTTGTGTCGTTTCAGCCATACCTGAAGGAGATCCTGAAGGAGATCTGCACGTACAACATGAAGGCGCCGCATCGCAACATGTGGGAGCTGAAACCAGAGTACCGACATTACAAGGAACAGAACACCTCATAGCACTAGCTGCTGGACAACGTCCATATTTATGTAACTGACCCTTGGAGATATCCTGGGGGTATAGGCACGACCCCATGCTTGTCCCATGGGTACATTAGGAGTGTTATCTCTGCCCATGCTTGTCCCACGGGTACATTAGGGGGGTGCCATCTCTGCCCATGCTTGTCCCATGGGTACATTAGGGGTGCCATCTCTGCCCATGCTTGTCCCATGGGTACATTAGGGGGGTGCCATCTCTGCCAATGCTTGTCCCATGGGTACATTAGGGGAGTGCCATCTCTGCCAATGCTTGTCCCATGGGTACATTAGGGGAGTGCCATCTCTGCCCATGCTTGTCCCATGGGTACATTAGGAGTGCCATCTCTGCCCATGCTTGTCCCATGGGTACATTAGGGGGGTGCCATCTCTGCCCATGCTTGTCCCATGGGTACATTATAGGAGTGCCATCTCTGCCAATGCTTGTCCCATGGGTACATTAGGGGTGCTATCTCCGCCCATGCTTGTCCCATGGGTACATTAGGGGAGTGCAATCTCTGCCCATGCTTGTCCCAAGGGTACATTAGGGGGGGATGCCATCTCTGCCCATGCTTGTCCCATGGGTACATTAGGGGGGGGGGTCGTCTCTGCCCATGCTTGTCCCATGGGTACATTGGGGGAGTGCCATCTCTGCCCATGCTTGTCCCATGGGTACATTAGGGGAGTGCCATCTCTGCCCATGGCTGTCCCATGGGTACATTAGGGGGGTGCCATCTGTGCCCATGCTTGTCCCATGGGTACATTAGGAGTGCCACCTCTGCCCATGGGTACATAAGGGGTGCCATCTGTGCCCATGCTTGTCCCATGGGTACATTAGGAGTGCCATCTCTGCCCATGGGTACATAAGGGGTGCCATCTCTGCGCATGCTTGTCCCACGGGTACATAAGCGCTGTCATCTCTGCCCATGCTTGTCCCAAGGGTACATTAGGTAGCTGCCATCTCTGCCCATGCTTGTCCCAAGGGTACATTAGGGGAGTGCCATCTCTGCCCATGCTTGTCCCATGGGGACATTAGGGGTGCCATCAACTCCCATGCTTGTCCCATGGGTACATTAGGGGCTGTGACATCTCTGCCCATGCTTGTCCCATGGGGACATTAGGAGTGCCATCTCTGCCCATGGGTACATAAGGGGTGCTATCTCTGCCCATGCTTGTCCAATGGGTACATTAGGGGAGTGCCATCTCTGCCCATGCTTGTCCCAAGGGTACATTAGGGGAGTGCCATCTCTGCCCATGGGTACATTAGGGGGGTGCCATCTGTGCCCATGCTTGTCCCATGGGTACATTAGGGGACTGCCATCTGTGCCCATGCTTGTCCCATGGGTACATTAGGAGTGCCATCTCTGCCCATGCTTGTCCCATGGGTACATTAGGAGTGCCATCTCTGCCCATGCTTGTCCCAAGGGTACATTAGGGGACTGCCATCTCTGCCCATGCTTGTCCCATGGGTACATTAGGAGTGTCATCTCTGCCCATGCTTGTCCCATGGGTACATAAGGAGTGCCATCTCTGCCCATGCTTGTCCCACGGGTACATAAGCGCTGTCATCTCTGCCCATGCTTGTCCCATGGGTACATTAGGTGGCTGCCATCTCTGCCCATGCTTGTCCCATGGGTACATTAGGGGGGTGCCATCTCTGCCCATGCTTGTCCCATGGGTACATTAGGGGAGTGCCATCTCTGCCCATGCTTGTCCCATGGGTACATTAGGGGAGTGCCATCTCTGCCCATGCTTGTCCCATGGGTACATTAGGGGAGTGCCATCTCTGCCCATGCTTGTCCCATGGGTACATTAGGGGAGTGCCATCTCTGCCCATGCTTGTCCCATGGGTACATTAGGGGAGTGCCATCTCTGCCCATGCTTGTCCCATGGGTACATTAGGGGAGTGCCATCTCTGCCCATGCTTGTCCCATGGGTACATTAGGGGAGTGCCATCTCTGCCCATGCTTGTCCCATGGGTACATTAGGGGAGTGCCATCTCTGCCCATGCTTGTCCCATGGGTACATTAGGGGAGTGCCATCTCTGCCCATGCTTGTCCCATGGGTACATTAGGGGGGTGCCATCTCTGCCAATGCTTGTCCCATGGGTACATTAGGGGAGTGCCATCTCTGCCCATGCTTGTCCCATGGGTACACTAGGGGGGTGCCATCTCTGCCCATGCTTGTCCCATGGGTACATTAGGGGAGTGCCATCTCTGCCCATGCTTGTCCCACGGGTATATTAGGGGAGTGCCATCTCTGCCCATGCTTGTCCCATGGGTACATTAGGGGGATGCCATCTCTGCCCATGCTTGTCCCATGGGTACATTAGGGGAGTGCCATCTCTGCCCATGCTTGTCCCATGGGTACATTAGGAGTGCCATCTCTGCCCATGCTTGTCCCACGGGTACATAAGCGCTGTCATCTCTGCCCATGCTTGTCCCACGGGTACATAAGCGCTGTCATCTCTGCCCATGCTTGTCCCATGGGTACATTAGGGGTGTGCCATCTCTGCCCATGCTTGTCCCATGGGTACATAAGGAGTGCCATCTCCGCCCATGCTTGTCCCATGGGTACATTAGGAGTGCCATCTCTGCCCATGCTTGTCCCATGGGTACATTAGGGGAGTGCCATCTCTGCCCATGCTTGTCCCATGGGTACATTAGGGGAGTGCCATCTCTGCCCATGCTTGTCCCATGGGTACATTAGGGGAGTGCCATCTCTGCCCATGCTTGTCCCATGGGTACATTAGGGGAGTGCCATCTCTGCCCATGCTTGTCCCATGGGTACATTAGGGGAGTGCCATCTCTGCCCATGCTTGTCCCATGGGTACATTAGGGGAGTGCCATCTCTGCCCATGCTTGTCCCATGGGTACATTAGGGGAGTGCCATCTCTGCCCATGCTTGTCCCATGGGTACATTAGGGGAGTGCCATCTCTGCCCATGCTTGTCCCATGGGTACATTAGGGGGGTGCCATCTCTGCCAATGCTTGTCCCATGGGTACATTAGGGGAGTGCCATCTCTGCCCATGCTTGTCCCATGGGTACACTAGGGGGGTGCCATCTCTGCCCATGCTTGTCCCATGGGTACATTAGGGGAGTGCCATCTCTGCCCATGCTTGTCCCACGGGTATATTAGGGGAGTGCCATCTCTGCCCATGCTTGTCCCATGGGTACATTAGGGGGATGCCATCTCTGCCCATGCTTGTCCCATGGGTACATTAGGGGAGTGCCATCTCTGCCCATGCTTGTCCCATGGGTACATTAGGAGTGCCATCTCTGCCCATGCTTGTCCCACGGGTACATAAGCGCTGTCATCTCTGCCCATGCTTGTCCCACGGGTACATAAGCGCTGTCATCTCTGCCCATGCTTGTCCCATGGGTACATTAGGGTTGTGCCATCTCTGCCCATGCTTGTCCCATGGGTACATAAGGAGTGCCATCTCTGCCCATGCTTGTCCCATGGGTACATTAGGAGTGCCATCTCTGCCCATGCTTGTCCCACGGGTACATAAGCGCTGTCATCTCTGCCCATGCTTGTCCCATGGGTACATAAGGGGTGCCATCTCTGCCCATGCTTGTCCCATGGGTACATTAGGGGAGTGCCATCTCTGCCCATGCTTGTCCCATGGGTACATTAGGGGAGTGCCATCTCTGCCCATGCTTGTCCCATGGGTACATTAGGGGAGTGCCATCTCTGCCCATGCTTGTCCCATGGGTACATTAGGGGAGTGCCATCTCTGCCCATGCTTGTCCCATGGGTACATTAGGGGGATGCCATCTCTGCCCATGCTTGTCCCATGGTTACATTAGGGCTGCCATCTCTGCCCATGCTTGTCCCATGGGTACATTAGGGGAGTGCCATCTCTGCCCATGCTTGTCCCATGGGTACATTAGGGGAGTGCCATCTCTGCCCATGCTTGTCCCATGGGTACATTAGGGGGATGCCATCTCTGCCCATGCTTGTCCCATGGGTACATTAGGGCTGCCATCTCTGCCCATGCTTGTCCCATGGGTACATTAGGGATGCCATCTTCGCCCATGCTTGTCCCATGGGTACATTAGGGGGGTGCCAATTCTTTCCATGCTTGCCCAAATGGGGATTCAAGGGTAGAATAGGTGCCCAATGTGTGTGCTATAAGTTCTTTTTCTGCTTTGACACTGTTGGTTGCATGTATCATTGTACAGACTGTCAACCACTGCTTACCCTTTTGATCTCGGTGGCCAAGTGATCTTAGGTGCTGAGGTCAATGTGCAGAGTTGCCTCCCTTACACATGACAGGAACCTATGATCGTGGGTTTGAATCTCAACTCGATCTCATTGTGGTTGCAGCATATGAATTCAACATGTTCAACCCGCAGGATGTTTTTATGGCAAATAGTTTAAATCAAATAAAGTAATAAAATTAGACAAGTGAACAATTACAGAAATAGAGAATCTCACCCAAGTGTTTTTTCATATCAAATATATCAACACCAGTTGATAAAAGTGGGAAAACTCTGAGGCTTGCCGAGGATTTTTTCCACTTTTATCAACAAGTGTTGATATATTTGATATCAAAAGACACGAGGGTGAGATTTTATTTATCATCCAACATCATTCTTCCAACTTTTTCAGTTTGTAGAAAGTTATAAGCAGTGTCTTAAGTGTAAAAAGCACTACTAACAGCAGCAGTAGCAGAGCCATTAGTGATGTAATTTGATTGTGACGTCATGGTAACCAATGATGTCACAATGGTCTGCAAAGCCTTGTGATGCAATTTCATTGCAGCGATATCTACAGTATAGATATCGCTTGATCTCACCCAAGTGATATCTCCTGTGGGAGCCAGTTTTGGATGATAATATGTAATATTCCAAACCTTTTCATAATTGAGTCTGGGCCAGGCCAACTTGTTTTGTTCTGGGCACAGAATCAGGGTATGAATACACACAATTATATCTTCCCGAGGCAAGGGAGTTGACTGACTATAGTTTCATCCTTACCGAAGTAGGCTGGAATTATGGAGTCATATTTTGGCTGTACTAACGTGTCCATGCATTGTCCAGTCAAAATCGTGTGACAAAATTGACATGCAGTTCATAAACAGTATGGTTACTGCTGTACAGATATTTTTCAAATCTTTTTTTGTTTGTAATCGAGGTGCTCAAGTGATTTGTTGCACTTCGTGTGGTAAGACCTGTCTTATTTCAATAAAGATCTTGAATGGCAACACCTCAGAATGAGTTGCCATATTTTCTTTGAAGCGTATGCAAGTGATATGAGAGGTGGAATCTGATTGGTGATTAGGGACATGGAAGGGACAGAGTTCATAATAGCCACGCAACAAAAATAAAAACATTGCTGTGCAGAGTTGCATCCCTTGGATGTGACAGGCACCAATGTTCATGGTTTGAACTTTTGATTATGTGGAAAACTTCTGAGACCTGCATACTTTCAGGCTTTCATCCCATAACTAGCTGACTCACCGTGATATAACTGGAATACCGTTTACAGCAGCATTAAATCCAATTCCCTCACTCACTCATTCATCCTGACCTAGATCAGAAGCATTTGAAATACAAAAAGTTTTTCCTTTTTCTTTTAGTTGAAATTGATAATACCCTTTTCATTTTCTGGAATTCCAAGCATGTTAAAATGTTCATTTCTACTTGTCAGATTTACTTGTAAGTACACCCATGAAGATCAGGGGCAGAATAGGTCTTCAGCTTGCCCTAAAAGGCGACTGTGCTTGTCGTAAGAAGCGACTTACGGGATCAGGTAGTCAGGCTCGCTGACTTGGTTGATGCATGTCATTGTATCCCAATTGTGTGGACCGATGCTCATGATGTCAATCACTGGATTGTCTGGTCCAGACTCGATAATTTAGAGACCGCCGTCATAGAGCTGGAATATTGCTGAGTGCGCGTTAATCAACAAAAACAACATAAACCTGTGGGAACACTTATGACTTGCTTCTTATAAACATCACAACATTTATTTTCCAAAAATATCACATTATTTCTTGGTGTGCCATACTGATTTTAACCATGATACAAGGAATTTTGTACCCTGACCTAGGGGGCCACGGGTGGCCCAGTCGTCTGTTCAGACTTGCGTCCCTTGGGCATGCCAGAAACCTATGATTGTGGGTTCTAATCCTGGTTCGCCCCGATTGTGTTTCTAGGTTTGTCAGCACCATACCCGTGCTCATAGGTTTCACCGAAGTGGTAAACATCTGAGACCTGCATCACTTTGGGCTTTACTCCCACATTAAGCTGACACGTTGTGATATAACTGGAATAATGTTAAAAGCGGTGTTAAACCCAAATCACTCACTCACCCTGACCAAAGCATGAGGCACTAGAGGCGTGGGGTAGCCAAGTGGTTAAAGCGTTCACTGGTCACACCAAGGCCTGTGTTCGATTCTCCTCGTGGGTACAATGTGTCAAGCCCATTTCTTGTGTCCCCTGCTGTGATATTGCTGGAATATTGCTGAAAGTAGTACTCTCATTCGCTCACTCTTGAGGCAGGGGGGATCATTCTGCCCCTGTCAAACTGAATGATTGATAATTGTCTTAAATGGTATCTACCCTTTTGACTTATGGATTAAAAATGTGCAGTATAATTATATTTGCTGATACTGTTCATTTGCGAAATTTCAAAATATAATCATCTTCTTCTCAAAGGCAGACTAACTCATTTGCCTTCTTACAGATATGAAATAACATCAGTCCTGAAAATATTTGTAAATGTTTTTAATTTTCCCTCCTGCCACAGGATTTGATGAGCGAATCTGTAAAACATCATCCAAATGTTCTGAAGAACCATTGCCATGATGCCAAAATAATCATTGTGTGGTTAAACTGTAACATGAACATATTATAGTGGAGACAATCCTGTATGTTGTATTCCACACAAGGGAGATTTTGTTCATATATCGTCATGCTTATGTGAAAGTGATTGTGCCATTTCATTTTGAGTATGTAAATTACCCTTTGGGGTTCATTGGAGAGAATTTTAAGTTTCATTTTGTAAATTAAAGCATTGTCCTGAATTGACAGTGTTTTCTTGACTTTTTGCTTATATTGATAGAGTGATCTCGGGAGCCTTTGTAGTTGATATCACATATCAGTATAACGTTAACAGAACAAGACCAACAGGTTGACTTTTCATTTTGAAAATTTCAAAATGGCCGCCACAGCAGAGTGGAATCCAGCCTTCAGACCAAGCTCTTCTCCCTTGAAGTTACTGAAAATACTGCTTTCAAATGCTCAGAGGATGTTTATACGATCTACCTCTGAAATGAAGTTTCATTTTGAAAAAATAACATTGGCTGTGATGCCGTTCTGACACATGAGACGTTTGCCCGGAGGTTGAACATCTGCCCGGATCCAGGGTTCGATCCCTGGCTGTGTAATACCAAAAGACGTTAAAAGATAGTACTTGTTGTTTACCTGCCTGGTGCGGCGGAAGATCCAGGGTTCGATCTCTGGCCGTGTAATACCAAAAGCCGTTAAAAGATAGTACTTGTTGTTTACCTGCCTGGTGCAGCGGAAGATCCAGGGTTCGATCTCTGGCCGTGTAATACCAAAAGACGTTAAAAGATAGTACTTGTTGTTACCCTGCCTGGTGCGGCGGAAGATCCCGGGTTCGATCCCTGGTCAAGTAATACCAAAAGACCTGTCTGGCGCTCGGCATTATGGGGCTAAAACAAGGTCTGGTGGGCTCGAAGTCAGTATACTGTGTCTGAGTGGGGTATCTCAGTGGGCTAGCACTATAAATTCGGCCTTAGACCGGACTAGTACAAGAAAACACACACGCACACACACACACATACACACACATGACATGAATTTAACCGTCAATGCCACAGCGAGTGAAATAAACACAAACAAACTAACATGGGTGGGACATTAACGTCATGAGGTGCTGTAATTCGCTGTGCAGAGGTTGCGTCCCTTGGCATGCTGAAACTTGTGATCCTGGGTTTAAATGTCAGCATGGCAGAATCACCGTGATAACGTTTCTACGTTTGTCAGCACCATACCTGTGTTCATGGGTTTCACCAATACAAACTGGTATAGCTCCAAGGCCTGATCCCTTTGGGCTTTCCTCCCACATCAAGCGGGGCGGTCGGGTAGCCTAGTGGCTAAAGCGTTCGCTCATCACGCCGAAGCCCATGTGTGAAGCCCATGTCTGGTGTCTCCCACCGTGATATTGCTTAAAACCATACTCACTCACTCCCTCCCACATCAAGCTGACAGCCATCAACTGAATGAACTGAAGACTTACTAAAAAGGTAGTGATTATAGATCTTCTTTCTGAGGACACATGACTTTACAGATGACCACATGTATATACAGTTTGGTTGACTTCAATAAAGTTTATCAGGAGTATGTTTGAAAATTCATAGCTTTGATCTACTGAAAACCCAAATTGTATTGTTTTTGAATGATGGTAAACTACTTGCACATTCCTTCTTTGTAGGACCTTTTCCCAGGTCTATTATATAGCATCTGCCCTGAGAGTGGAAGGCCGGAGATTGATCCCCGGTCGCGTTATACCAAATAACGTTAAAAGATGGTATGTAACCCTGCCTGGTGCTCGGCATAAAACAAGGACTGCACTCTGAAAACAAACGTTTAGTAGAGACATGTTGAAGTTCTTGTTCCTAAACGCTAGTGTATATCTTACATCACTGGTGCTTAATAATCACCACAGTTTGCCTTGCAGCCAACACACATGCATATTCATAAATACACACCCGTTCGATCTGTTTCACACCATATACAAGTCTTTAGTGAGGTGAGGTGAAATGGGGTTTAACGTCGCGTCCAAGATTATTGCGTTTATAAAGCGATGTGCGTGTACGTGTGTGTGTGGCTGCTTGTACTAGTCCGGACAAATGCCGATTTATAGTGCTAGCTCACTGAGATACCATGCCGCAGTTTAACATGAATACCCCACTCCGACACAGTATACTGACTCCAAGCCGACCAGTCCTTGTTTTAGCCCCTTAATGCCGAGCGCCAGACAGGGTAACAACAAGTACCATCTTTTAACGTCTTTTGGTATGACGCTCTCCGGGCGTACACTGTACCACTAGACCACGGAGGCGGTCTACAAGTCTTTAGTACAGACATGTTGAAGTGTTTGTTCCTTAACACAAATGCGTATTTTATGTCACTGCTGTAAAACACGTTTGAGATACAATATACACACAAACGTATTTTTAAGTGTACATCCATTTGCTAATATTACATTTTTTATCAACATAATAGAGTAATTGCGACTATTATTTCGAAATTATTAATAACAAACTGAATTTACATGATTAATCTAATCTATTTAGATCTATCTTTTATCTGAAAGCTGAATACTTTTCCACAGACCTCTTACGAATGGTATATATCTAACATAAATTGCTTACTTTCAGCCTCACATGGTGCCTAGATACAAATATCATGAGTTCACTGTGTGCAAATTGTATCAGATATATACTTTTATGTCATTCACATACTTGCATATGTCATCCACACTACACTTT